AATAAAATAGAACAATTATAACAATATATCGTAATTAAAAATATGCAAATATGGTATCTTTCTCTTTCAGAATATCTTATTGTACTGTACTCACCCTTCTTGTGATGATGCAAAATGGTAAAATGGCTACGTGATAGGATGAAGTGAGGGCAATAACACAGGTATTGTGACATAGGTGGAAAATTCCAGAAATAAACAACTCTTAAGTTTCAAATTGTCCACTGTTCTTAGTGGTGCGATGAAATCTCTTGCCCTCCTGCTTCGGCCCACTGGATGGCAATGAATCACCATGTAGTCACCTTGGCGATTAGAGCAACTGTTGCAGTATTGCAGTGCTTGTGTTCAAGTGACCCTTATTGTACTTAATAGTGGCCCCAAAACACAGGGTAGTGATGTAATATTTTTGAACTATAGTTGACCCTGAGTAACTGAAACTGTGGAAAATGAAACTGCAGCTAAGGGAAGACTACTTTACTATACTTCTAGACGTGTACTGTTTATCACTGATTATATAAAATGGTAAAATATTATTAGCTATTACTGTAACATGGACTAAGTCAAGTTGTTGGCATAATAATTTCAAGTTACGTGATTCACCCATGTATATGTAAAGGTCTTCCCAAAAGTTGTAGTGAAATTGTAAGATTGAATACTTTTGGAAGTATAAAGTCTATAAATTTTTATATAAAAGTTTCAAACAAACTTTATTTAAAAGTGTAATGACTTACATTTATTTTACATTTATATAGCTTTGTTGATTTTGAGTAATACATTTTAAAATTTTAAGTTTTTAGTCCCTCTGGTTGAAGATAGGAAATGTTGACTGAAACAAGAAATTAAGTCTTTTCGGACAACTTGCATTTCCAACTTGGGCATAATTATTAAAATGCTGAGTAGATAACTTCAGGATTGTGGCTGTGGCCATTACCAAATTTTAAAGAAAAAAGTGACTTGAAATGAAAGTGCATTGCAGTTCCAGTAACAAATAACTCTTTTATTTAAGTTTAATTTATTCAGAAACTCATACAAAAGCTGGAGTTACTATAAAAATATTTTTTTCCTGAATCAACAGGTTATTGCTTCACTCCTTGATGTGTCTTTCTCATAACCAAAATATTTTCTACATAAATACAACAAACCATCAAAGTTGAGAAATTAACAATGATAGCATCTAATCTTCAGACTCCACCCAAGTTTTGCCAATTGTCCCTGTAACATTAGTCTTTTATGGCAAAAGGAACCAGTTTAGGACCATACACAACATTCAGTTGTCATGTCTCTAAGCTCCTCCAGGCTAGAATGGATCCTCTGTCTTTCCTTGACTTTCATGACCTTGAGACTTTTGGATATTATTGTTGTGGCATGTCCCTCAATTTGTTTTTTTCTTCATTATTAGATTCATGTTTGCAGCTTTGTTAGAAGTATAACAAGAATAATGATGTAGTTTTGTCATTTCATCTTACTAAATGGAATAAAATTTCTATTTATCCCACTGTGATGGAATATCATTGGAACTGATCACTTGATTGAGGTGACATCTGCCAGGCTTTTCCCATTGTAAATTACTCATTTTGCCTTCATTATTCAACTGTACTTTGTGGGAAAGAACTTTGAAATTATGTAAATACCTTTCCTCATCAAAATTTTAATTGTTATTTAGCTCATGATTTCTCATTTTATTCCCTTACTGCCTTTATTATTATGATTCTCAAACTTTCCCAGATTTGGCCAGTGGGGTTTCCTTCAAGCTGGCTTTTGGGCCCATTTGGTATGTCCCCATTTTTTTTTTTAGTACTTCCTTGCTTTTTGCTTCGAAAGATGTTCCACCTTTAATTGCCCCTTTCCTTTCCTGTCCTGGCCCTGAAATCAGCCATTTCTTCAAAGAACTTTGGCTCTTTTAGTGGAGAATGGCATCTAGAAGTAAAGATATGGACAATAGCTGTGCTCATTATTAGGGTTGTCTTAGTTCGAACTGCCATAACAATATACCATAGACTGGGTGGTTTAAGCAATAGACATTTCTTTCTCGCAGTTCTGGAGACTGGAAGGTCCAATATCAAGGTGCCGGCGGCTTCGGTTCCTGGTGAGAGTGCTCCTCTTGGCCTGTAGGCAGCCGCGTCCTCTCTCTGTGTTCACATGCCGTTTTTGGTGCACACACATGGAGGGAGAGAGAATGCTCTGGTGTCTCTTCCTCTTCTTGTAAGAGCACTTATCACATCATGTGGGCTCCAACCTTAAGACCTCATCTAAACCTAATTACCTCCCAAAGTCCTCACCTCTGAATACCATTACCTTGGGGGTTAGAGCTTCAACATATGAATTGTTGGGGGAAACATTCAGTCCATAACTAGGTGTTGCTGCTGCTACTCTCTCTCAGGAGGGAAGCTAGAGTCTAAATCCATTAGGTTGGTGCAAAAGTAATTGCAGGTTTTGCCATTACTTTTACTCTTTCTCCATCTCTGTATAAATAGAGATAGATAGAGATGATGTAGATACAGATATACTAGATTGGTGCAAAAGTAATTGTGGTTTTTGCCACTAAAAGTAATGGCAAAAACTATGTCTATATCTATGTATATTCAGATAAAGAGCAAAATATATCTACACATATTACAGCTGTTTATTACATACTTTACAAATACTTATAAATCTATCTATATATTGAAAACTATGAGTCCACACAAATACTTCCAATTCCATACCAGAACAGTTCATTCTTGTTCCCTTCATTTGAATATCTGTAACTCCCTTCTCCAACTACGAGAAGCCTGGATCCTATTATCATGGATGTATTTTCTTGTTTGACCCATAACCCTGTGGCAACTCACCTTTTATATCTGCCTCTCTCCCTCCCCATGTGGATTCCCTCTTTACCCTCCCCAGGCTCTGATACCTCATACTAGGCCACCTTCCAACATATGGATATCCTCTTTACCCCACAAGGACGTGGACTGCCCATTTTGGGTTGCACAACCCCCATTAGATGCCCTTCTCACCCTATCTGGGCTCTAAGTCACCATGTCATAATCCCCTCCACCACCGTGTGGTAACCTTATTCACCCTGTCTGGGTTCTGATATCCTGCTATGATCTCCCCTCCTCTGTGTGGATTCTTTCTTCACCCCATTCAAACTCTTAATGCCCACTTCAAGTCATGGGCCACCTTGCTCTATTTCACCTCTAGGACTGACTTATTTATGAAGGGAAGGGAAGAGGAAGAGCCCCAATAACTCCTAAAAATGTGTGTTGTAGAGATAACCTTTGCTAAATCTTGTTGAATTAGAGAGAAGAATGAGCCAAAGGCAACATATGTATGGTTTCAAATGCTGCTAACTGTGCTAAATCATTCTTTGCATGGGGGAGGCAGTTATATTTACTTGTAAGCATCCCTTAAGGCTTTGCTTTGAACATGGTAATCCTGCTACAGTTTGGATGAGAAAAAAATAGCTTTTATTGCAGCAAAGAATGGATTAAACACGAGAAGTAACTAAGATGAACTACATTTTAAATCTCATCTCACTTTGCTTCTTCATGCCTTCCCCAGAATACATTGCTATACAGATTGGTCCCAGAGATCTAAATTACAAAAGATGTTGAACATCACACTAAGGCATTTGTTCTTTCATTTAAAGTCAACAATGACAAGTCACTGAATGGGTTTGGGCAAAAAAAAAAAAAAAAAAAAAAAAAGGCGTAAGATTGTGAGAAAAAATTTAATTTCTAATAATGAAATTGGAAAAAATCATGACTATATTGTATACATTGTTAATTATTTTCAGGAAGAAAGGTATACAATAAATGGACTGGGTCAGGGAAATCATTTTATAGTTGGGGTGATAATAGACAAGCAGTTTTTATTGGTTAATAAAGTATTAATGCCACACAGACAAATCAGCCTCAGTACCACTCCCTGACTTGTTACTGCATTATTGCTATCACAGAAACCAATCAACAATCACTTGTTTTTATACTTTGTATAAGGTAAAGCATAATAAAATGCAGTGCTTAAGTAACCGGCTTCATCCAAGTAAGTAAAAATGTTATATCATCTATTTTTTTTTTCTCATATTTAGAGGAAAGACTATTAATCAAATATTTGGGCATTTGATTTTGGAGAAACACCTTCAGCAGTATTTAATTACCACAGCAGCTAAGATGTAATAGGATTCAGTTTAACTTTTAACTGTCTGGAAAGACCAGCCTACATGCTCTTTTGGCAAGATCAGTAGTTCTTGGCATCACCCAATACCAGCCATCAGAGCCTTCTTGACCCTGAGTGTCAGCCTCAAAGCACACTTGGTGGACTGAGACCATGGTTGCGTGGGAAGACCAAGGAGTGAGGATAAGAACAACCAGGCAGAAGGAAGGTAGAGGTTACTGGAAAGAGGAGAAAGGGGAAAAGGGGAGAAGGGAAGAGGGAGCTCGAGAGAGAAACAACGGGAGTGGAAATAGAGGAGAGAGCTATGTATGGTTTGAATGTGTCCCTCCAAGGTCATGTGTTAGAAACTTAATCCTCAATGCAATGTTGAGAGGTAGGACTTTCAAGAGGTGATTAGGTCATGAAGGTTCTGCCTTCATGAATAGATTAATGCTCTTATCATGGGAGTTGGCTAGTTTTCTTGGGAGAGGGTTCTTGATAAAAAGGATGAGTTCAGTCCTCTTCTCTCTTCTTTCTCTTGCCCTCTTGCCTTCCACCATGGGGGATGACACAGCAAGAAGGCCCTAGTGAGATGCAGGCCCCTGGACCTTGGAATCTCCAGCCTCCAGAATGATAAGAAACACATCTCTGTTCTTCATAAATTACCCAGTCTAAGGTATTCTGTGACAGCAGCACAAAATGGACTAAGACAGAGAGGAAGAGGAGGAAGAGAAAAGCAGTTGAGAGGACACATGAAGACAAAGTTATTGAAAGATGAGATTCATTATCAGAGGAAATATGGGAAATATAGAATGAGTGTTTAAGAAAAAAAACAGGAAAGTATCTCACCTACAACACTTTGAAGGCATGCAGATATTTTATTGCTGAAAATTTACATTTCTAAATTTGAAGAAGAAATTCTCTGACCTGTGCTTTCATTTGTCCACATGGTGAAGTCCAACAGCCTCCCCCTGACACTCAGGGAGAACCCTCTTGTGAAGCAAATATAAAAGCAAAATTTTATTTGGTATTTTCATTTATGGCTGCCTTAACTTATACAAGAAATAGGAAAAACGTCTTAGGTCACATTGCTTTGAGTTTATGTAAATCTTTAAAGACTGTTAATTGATGTCATACTCCTTAACCTTTACAAATATCACCCTGAGGTGGAGATCTGTAGTTTTACCCCCATTCTACAAAAATAAAAATAAAATAAAAGATTAAATCATATACACAAAGTCTATAAGAGGAATGATTGGCTTTAGTTGTCTTGTTTTAATCAAGCATGAGAAAACTAAGCTAATTCCATACACTGGGACTGACCAAAATGGGTAAAGTAAGTTAGTCCACATTACAAGTAGGTTCAATTTGGCCAAAAGACACCATGTTTCAAACTTAATCCCCTGAGTGCAAAACTGTAAGATTATGCTCCAGTTAGCCTGTAGTTCTGTTTCCTTCATTTCAGGATTCCTTTTGCCCTAAATAGTAGCCCATACTTGCTATTGTCTTTTGACATCATTATTTTCACTCATACGCTTAGGCCGAAAGGGTGTCCATCCCACTGGTGAATACACAATCAAGAGCTTCAGAGCAAAGCCTTCATCTCCACTGTGGCCTCCACCACAGCAAGCCTAAGTGCACTTCCATGGATCCTACAATCATTTGTCTTTTTGTGACACCATAAAATTCAGTAACTAGCAACCTGTGATTCAATGCAGGATATACTGTGGGAGAGAGAAATGAGCAGGAGAAGACACATTTCTTGCCTTTAGGGCTCGTTAAATTGTCTCCTCTTTCTTTTTCAACTTGCTTTTCTTTGGCTCTTCTGTCTTCTAGTGAATATACTTTTTGAGTTTCTGTCTTTTCACATTGTCATGTTATCTTCTCATTAGTCTTTTCAATTTTCAATGTTGAACTAAATAAACCCTCGGGCCTCGCTAAACTGTTATTTCCCTCAGCAAAGAATGTGCTACTCATTAATGCCAATGATTTTATATTCCACTGGCCTTCACAACAAAATAAGCAAGACTTTCTTAGGTTAATTTGTTTTTACACAACATTTAAAGTGAATTCTGTGGGATTACAGCCCAACGTGAAGTGACATCTTTCCCAGAAATACAGCAGCATTGGCAAAATTGTCAGCAATCACCCAACCTCAGGGCCAAACATGACAATATGAGAAGAAAGGCACTCTGAGTAATAAATGTGACTGAAATACAAACAAAATGTATGGTTTTCCAGACTCATAAAGTATTGGAAGACAAAACTGTGAGCAAACTACATTATAATAGGCAAGAGGAGTGCTGAAAGATAGCCACAAGCTATGTGTTTCTCCTTAGCCAAGCAGCCATCCTGGCACTTTGCTTCTTGTTTTTCAGATTTTTATTCTTTATTGTCTGTAATTTGGCATGAACGCTGATCCTCGAGTGTTCCTCCAACATGTTACTGAAAAACTGCTGCAGCTGGAAGGACAGAGAGACAGATGATCAGTGCAATCTAACTTCCCATTTGGACAAAACAAATATCTAAATGCTAAGCAGCAACATGATTTTGTAAATTGGTGATGATGGTTGGAATGAGTAGAAATGTATACTCCCAGATTGTGTGTCCCTGGCGAGACTGTGACTGAGACAATGTGATGAACACCAGACCTACCCCAAAGAAGCAGATGTAGACAGGAAGGTCCATGAAGCAGAAACTATGCCTTATTCATTGCTCTATTCCCAAAGCACATATTAAGTCTCAATGAATATTTACCGAAGGCAAATAGAGTGTTCTCTAAGATTTGCAGACAGAGATACAGTGAACCCCCTCACTTTTTTTAAATCTCAAAAGAAACTGAAACTTCCAAAGCTCAAAATTGGTACATAATAGTTGCATCTTTACAACTGTCATTCTTTATTTGAGAACACTTAGATAATGAATTCGTCCATTGGCTGAATTACCTCATTGGGTCAGGTCAAGCATTCAGTTATCAGAACATTTGTTGTAATATTAGGTCAGGTCAAGCATTCAGTTATCAGAACATTTGTTGTAATATTACGTATAAGTCAGACTCCAAGTGAATAATAAGTTATATTCCAAAATATAAATAAGTTATAAGTTTTTTCAATTTTCATTTTACCAGAAGTCTCTTTTTGTATCAGTGGATTAGAACTCCAAACACTTACAGCCATTAGATGAAGATGCGCATTCCAGTTCACAACAGCTTACTTCAACCCTAATATACTCAAAATTGCATAGCAATAGGGCTATCAAGCCTAATTACAATGTAAAAAAAATGTTTTAGGGAAAAGTAAGTTAAAGAGCCAGGAACAATCCTCCCCCACTCTTTCCTTCCCTGCTCACACCTGCCAGGAGGTGGTAACCAACAGCCCACAACTCCACATCACGGACAGTGTGCCCAGGATTGGTGGGAGGGGAGTGGCAATGGTGTTTGGGCTTGTAGGTGGGCTTTATGTGTGCTTGAGAGTATGTCTAGCAGGGGAACATAAAAACCAGAGCCAGAAATGCGGAAGGTGTTTGAAAATTGTGCCTTTGGAGAGGGACAAGGGAGGCAAATGATTTCATTTTCACTTTCGTTTTTATTATTTATTTTAGATACTACCCTGTGAACTGATGCAGCATAGCAGGACTGCTGGACATTAATAGTTGTTGGCAAGGATATTCATCTTAGCTAATTCATTTTTTTTTTAAATTGCAACAATTTACTGCTAAATCCATTTTTCCAATTTTGAAAAGCTGTCAGTGACTAGAATTTTGAAATTTTGAAGATTGCTAAATTTATACGAACCTCATTTATTATTCATTAACAACAACAAAACTTCACTAGATTCTGTAGAGGCAAAGATTGAACTAACGAATTTTAGAAGATAAAAACACACACTGAATCTTGATTTGCGGAGCTTTTGTATCAGCATGTTCTGGGTGTAGTGTGCTTTTCTTTCCCTTGTCCAGGGAATCCCTGATAAATCAGGTCCTGACAGCTCAGCCTTAGGCAGGCCAAAACTCAAAAAAGGATAATTTCTTTGGGAATTAGCAGTTCTGCTTCTCTCATGATAACAATTATATGACTTCTACTTGTCCTTTTTTTTTGCTTAGGATCAAAGTTCAGGCCTTTATGACCTATACATGTATTTGTTTATTTGCTTAGGGAGAGTTGATTTACCTTTATTCACAAAGGTTCTTCTTGTTCTTATTAACATAGTTTCAGGCCCTGGTGTTTAATTTTAATCAATTTTATTGGGATTTAATTTATGTACAATAAACTAGATACACTTAAACTGTACAAGTCAATGAATTTTGACCAATGTGTACCCCTTTGAAACCATAGACACAATCAAGTACATTTCCTCTACCCTGAAAAAGGGTCCTCAGGCCCTCTTGCAGTCCATCTCTCTCTGTCCCAGGCAACCACTGATCTGCCCTTTGTCTCTATAGATCCATTTTCATTACCCAGAATGTGACTGGTTTCTTTTACCAAACATAATCACCTTGATATTCATCCATGTTGCTACACAAATTTAAAAATTTCAGGATAGTATTCCATTGTGTGGGTATATTACTTTTCCTTATTCATTTACCTATGGATGGGCATTTAGATGGTTTCCAGTTAACATTTAAAAAAACTGCCTGTTTCCTGACATGGTTGGATAAAAGAGTTCCAGTTGCTCCATATCTTTGCCACCATTTGGTACCACAAATCTGTCTAATTTTACCTACACTACTGGGTGTGTACAGGTTGTATTTATATTGTATCCTTGTTTTACTTTGTGTGAAAGTATCTTTTTGTAGACATTTGCTTTTGTCCCCTTGGTTTACTTTCTGGTTACAGTCCTTTGTCCTTTCAGAACTTCCCCTTTCCAGTGCCTGTGACTTGGGTGGGGCTGTTCGACCCTGGCTAGACCAATCAGAGTATTCCATCTCCCCTGGACACAGTGATTGCTGCCTCTGACCTAAGTAGGACCAACCAAAGTGCTTTTTTCAGGGCAGGAACTCTTGAAGCTGTGAGAAAGTATCCTTCCTTCTGCAGCTGGGAGTGCTGAGGATTATATAAGCAGGGAGCTATGCTTCTCTCCACATGGAAAAAGACTGCCTAATAAAAATTCAGCCTAGAGGAAAGCAAAGCCAGGAAACGGTAAGAATCTAGAATAGACGAAACTAAGATATCATCTCAGTCCTCAGGGAGCTTATTGCAGCCTCATGGGGTAGACATATTTACCAGTGATTACACTATAAGGTAATAAGCACTATGGTAAAAATATATTCATAGGATTACTTGAAAGTATAGGTGAGGAAAGGGTATAAATCCTTCATTAAAAAGTTCCCAGAATAGATAATAGGAGCAGAATCTTAAAAGATGATTAGGAATTATCCAGCCAGGAACTGGGATGAGGAACGTTCTCCAGACAAAAGGTAGAGTGTTTCTGAAATCCAGAAAATGTGAAGCTATACAATAATTCAAGAAAATTTGTAAGTGGTACAGTATAGCTAGAGGAAATGTGTTTAGGGGTGTCTGTCCATCTCTCTTGCCCTCTGACACTTGGTGGTGAGGTGAGCAAAAATGAAGCCAAACTGTAATGTAGGGGCCAGATCATGAAGGGCCTCATGTGCTAATCACAGGATTTCAAAATTTCTTTGAAAAACTATAAAAAGCTACTGAAGCTCTGGAACAGAGCAATGACTGGCAGTGATGGCAAAGGTGGGATAGAAGGAAGCCCAGTCTGGGACAGGAACCCTGGGCGAGAGTGCCCTGCATTCAGGTGAGAAAGGATGAAGCATCACCCTCCATGAACAGGTGATCTCTATTTCAGGAGGAGGATACAATTGAAAACACTTCTTCACAGTGATACAGCAGCAACAGAAGCATAGAATGTAATAATTCAGACAAGCATATTATTATTTTTAATTTTAACAAGTCCAAATTGCATAAAAAGTGGTTTCCAAATTATCATTGTATTTCATAATATTTAAAGTGCTTACCTCCACAATCTGTAAATCTGTAGTTATGGCTCTCCCTATTGCATATATTAGATTGATCAATGATTGTGTGCCATACCTACAAGGCAAAAAGATGTTAATCAAGGGTGGAAAGCATTTTGCAAAATAAAGCTATATTTTATACAGCAGATGAATGCCAAGTGTATGGCCCCTATTAATTCCTATGTCCTAAATCTAAGTAAAAACATGTATGAACTAGTTTAGCTTCATCTTTCAATAGAAAATCCTATTAACACTAAGGAAATATTGATAGTTAAATGCTTAAATGTGTTACACAAATCTGTTATCTAAATCTAAAAAGTTCTTCTTAAAAACAACCATTATCTATTAAAATGAGGTAGTTGGAATACATGTCACATGTCTCAATACAATTTCTAAAGGAATAAATAAATATATAAATTGTGTCCCATAAAAAACAGTAGTTAATAGAGGATCCATTTCAGAACTGCTGACTAAAGCCCCCTGGATGTGTATTTAAAATGTTGTTTTTGTTCGTGCTTTTTTGGAGAGAAGATCCGTGTCTTCCAATGTTCTCTAAACGTTGGTCACCCTGAAGGCTGAGCACCATGGCCCTACCTGTGCTTGTTTCAATAGGTGTGGTAATGGAAACTTTCCCTCTCGTTTAGTGTCCCTGAATATCTAGCAAAAAAAATCTTAAATTAACTGTGAAGTATTGCTATGAAAAAACAGCAGATACTTACCTGCTCAAAGTGTGGCTGTAGTTAAAAAAGTAAATAAAAGACTTTTGGGTGCATTAAAAAAGAAAGAAAAATTAAAATAGGGTTATTATAATGGACTGACCAAGAGATGGTTGAATAGTTAATCTACACAATTGATTTACTTCAAAAATATGTACTTGAAATTAAAAATTATAAGCATTAACTTTGGCATAATATACTAATAAAGGTGAGAGAAAATGGTGCTGCTGTTTTTCTAAGTTCCTAGCTGTAACTTACACTGTGTCTACCTGAGCAACGTGAAGGACAATATAACTCTGTATATAATTGAGGCAAGCGAAACTGTTTTTATGAAGAAAGAGGAAACATTTCTTAGTTCTCTATTTTAATTGGCCAACTAGGCAGAAAAAACCTACCAAATGACTCAAGAAACTTGAGTTCCAAAGAACTCAAATTCCAACCTTAAAAATAAAAATAGAAAACAGAGGAAACCTACCTATGGTGCTAAATGCGCTAATTTCTGCTAGACACAGGAGGAAGGTACCTGAGGAGGCAGGGCTGGGTTTGACATTACCTTGGAAAATTTATAAATTGTAAAAATGGAGAATAACAGATACTTAGACGCATTGTTCTAGTGCGTAAATGAGATAACGTATATGGAAGCACCTATTAGATTACCTGGCACACTTCATTCCTTCCTGCTCTTGTCAACTTCAAGAGGGTCTATTTTTGAAACAGATGATTTATCATTCTTGTTGAGAGAGCAATCTCTTTCAAATATTACTCAACAAAACTGTATTACAAATAGTTTACCCCCATCAGTGTTCAAATACATTCTAATTAATATGAAGTCAAAAGCCAATATGAGTCAATATAGTAATCCTTTTTAAAAAGTTGATAACATCTAACATTAGTGTGGGAACAGTGATTTCGGTACTCCAGTCTGGCTCTCCTTTCTGCCCCTCCCTCTTCTCACATTACCCCTGCCTTCATCTCCCCTGCCATGTCAGATTTCTTCTGGCAAGGATGGCCACGCGGCAAGCGTGGGGACACCAAGGCATCCAGCCTGATCCATGCCGTGGGAACGGACTCCCCAGTGCTTGGACCTTCCACTCTGATAACCTCTCACTTTGCTTGTGCTCCTGTTTAGCCTTCTCGGCTGTGTTCCCCATCATGAAATACAACCAAGTAGAAGTGAAAATGATTCCATGTTTTTAAGCTTAAGACTTTAGACAATATAATAACGTGGAGAAAAAAAATCAAGTGCTTAATGAAGAGGGTAAGATTCATTTTGGATAGGATGAGTTTAAAATTGATCATGCTCTGTATTCTATATTGAGATAAAACTGGCTTTTCTGTATGCTGTGAAGCCCATTTAACAGAGATGATAATGGCACAAATAATGCTTCTACCACATCCATTGAAAAGTCCCAAAAATACTATTGCTTCATCCCTATTCATACGCTTCCACAGGACCTATTCATAGCTATGTGTACCTACTGAATTTTCTGTAACTTGAAATATAGCTCCATGACCAATGGAGTCTTTCTCATTGGAATGAGTATTCAAGAGATCATCTTTGGCCCAATAATTAACTAAATTTTCCCACACCAACCAGTGCAATGCTCTGTACATGACAGTGAGGGGCAAGACCAAGCCAAAAGTTGTTTTATTCAATTAAATATTCCAAAATATATTTCCAGATTAGGCTTCCTGGGAAGAATTCTGGGCCTGGCTGAAAGGAACAGCGGTTCCTGCGCCGCTATTGGCGATATACTCAACTCCAACATGTGCCTTGGTGTGGAGACGATGTCTGTGAGCTTGCCTGCATGTCACTGTGAGACATATGCCCAAGAGTGCTCTGAGATAAGGGAGGGATATACTCAAAACCACAGCACTGGTCACTTCATGCCCAGGGCCAAGCTGGACATAAGATGGTATTTTTTTGTTTTTGCATTTAGGCAAGCTGCCTCTGCCAGCCTGTCTCTCACCCTGTAGAAATGGAGCATAAGATCCCAGCAAGATATCACCTTATGGGAGGGGTGCAAAGCCGCTCTGCTCGTACTCCTCCCGATTCTAGCTCCCACAGCCAAGACCAAACCAGCAACCAAAAGCTCAACACATTAAAAAGCAAAAACAAAAATAAAATGAAAACTTCTGGAATAAGAAGTAGATTATTCAAACTTTTTCATAAAAAAGCAACTGACTAGGGGCAGAGGGAAGGATGAATAGGCACAGCACAGAGGATTTTTAGGGTAGTGAAAGTATTCCGTATGATGCTACAACGGTGAATATGCATCATTATACATTAATACATCAACACCCATAGAATGTGCAACACCAAGAGTAAACCCTAATGTAAACTAGGGACTTTGGGTGGTAATGATGTGCCTGTTTATGTTAATCAATTATAGTACAGCTATGAGCCACATAACAATGTTTCAGTCAACAATGGACAACATTAAAAAGGAGCCGAAAAATTCTTATCCCCTAGCAATGTCATAGTCATTGTAACATTGTAGCACAATGCATTACCTTTTCTATGTTTAGATATGTTTAAATACACAAATACTGGCTGGGCGCGGTGGCTCATGCCTGTAATCCCAGCACTTTGGGAGGCCGAGGCGGGCGGATCACGAGGTCAGGAGATCAAGACCATCCTGGCTAACACAGGGAAACCCCGTCTCTACTAAAAAAGACAAAAAAAATTAGCCGGACGTGGTGGCGGGCGCCTGTAGTCCCAGCTACTCGGGAGGCTGAGGCAGGAGAATGGTGTGAACCCAGGAGGCGGAGCTTGCAGTGAGCCGAGATTGCGCCACTGTATTCCAGCCTGCGCGACAGAGCAAGACTCCCTCTCAAAAAAAAAAAAAAAAAAAAACCCACAAATACTTACAGTTGTGTATCTACTGCTTCCAGTATTCAGTAACATGCTGTACAAGTTTGTAACCTAGGAGCAATAGACTATACCATAGAGCCCAGGTGTGTGGTAGGCTCTACCATCTAGGTTTGTGTAAGTACAGTCTATGCTGTTCACACAAAGACTAAATCATCTAAGGATGCATTTCTCAGAATGTATTTCTGTTGTTAATCAACATGTGACTGTAAATGTGTGGCTCTGATGCAGGATGTTGATAGAGGGGGAGCTTGTGCCTGTGTGCTGACAGGGATATATGGGAACTCTGTCTGCTCAATTTTGCTGTGAACTTAAAAGTATCCTAAAAAATTAAGTTTATTAATTTTTTAAAAATCAACTGAAAAGCCACTTCATTTATTTAAACATTTTCTGGAATTGAGATAAATAAATCACATCATGAGAAGGGCTTTCTAAGTAAAACACATTTAAAATATTTGAACAAATCTTGGCATCTCAAAATGTTTAAAGGATATAGCATATCTTTAAAAAGAAAAAATGAAATTTTGTTCTTGTTGCCTACTCAGGCTGGAGGGCAATGGGTTGATCTTGGCTCACTGTAACCTCCGCCTCTCGGGTTCAAGCGATTCTCCTGTCTCGGCTTTCCGAGTAGCTGGGATTGCAGGCATGTGCCACCATGCCTGGCTACTTTCGTATTTTTAGTAAAGACGGTGTTTCTCCCTGTTGGTCAGGCTGGTCATGAACTCCCGACCTCAGGTGATCTGCCTGCCTTGGCCTCCCAAAGTGCTGGGATTATTATAGGCGTGAGCCACTGAAAATGTAGATGAGGCATTAGTTAAGAACACATTGAAAGACTAAATATTTTCAGTAGTACTCTCAAAAAAAAAAATTAAGAAGTATGCATTTTCTTACTTAGGAGGAAGTAAATAGAGAGCTGGGAATCAGAGCCAGGGGACACGCTTTCTAATTCAATTTTTTTAATTTACTAGGTATTGACTTTAAGTTATTTAACTTCTGATTCTTGGTTATTAATTGGTAATTATTTTATGGGTGGCTGTGAAAACTGTAATTATTGCATATATTTATACATTATTTTGTTTTTTAATTTTTTGGTAGAAATAGAGTCTTGCTATGTTGCCCAGCCTGTTCTCAAACTCCTGGGCTATAGTGATCCTCCAGCCCTGGCCTCCCAAAGTGCTGGGATTATAGGCATGAGCCACTGTGCCCAGACTAAACATGTTATTTTAAAGAACAACATCAATGTGTGTTTTTCATTCTAAACATGAGACTCTAATACTGCTGAGGGATGTTATCAATAACATAAAAATAGAAATTGATAATATTGAGAAAAAGAAATAAAGTGAAGGACATATGGACTTGTAATAAAGCACATACATCATATTATCTCACTAAGATAATAATAATGAACATTAAACATTTATTGTGTACCAATCACCTTAAATAGCACATTATTAAATTATCTTAAAGCCTATTCATTATTATCCTCATTTTATAAATGAGAAAGCTGAAGCTTAGGTTAAAAATCTTGTTTAAGGTTACATATTTAGCAGTCTCCTTATCCTAAGATTGATCTGATTCTAGATTCTATTGCCTTAACTCTTTGACATACCATGTCTCTAGTGGATACACGAAAAACTAAAGCACAATAAATAAAAGGACAAAGGACAGTAATGAAGAGACACTTTCCATAGTTCTTAGAGGAAGAAACCACCACTTTGCTATACTGCTCTAGTTAAGTCCATCCCCATTCCCCCGTTCTAGAATTGACCCCCAATAGTGTTAACACACTGTCATAATCAGGACAGCCTGTGTGTGTTTCACACACGACACCAGTTAGAAACAGGACATCACCAATGAAGAGCACACAAAATAAAACTCCTTCACATGATATTCAGGGCCTGTTATCACCCGTCCTTCTCTCTGACCCTCAACTTACCTTCCCACCCCATCTCCTCTCCAGTGCGCTAAGCTCCTGCCAGTTACTGTGACTAGTCCCAAGTTGGCCTCCCAGCTCTGCCTCCAGGCATTTCCTGATGTTCTGTCCTCCAGGAAGAAGGAGGAGATTTGCAACTGTGCTTGTTCAAATCACATGCACATCCCTTTCTTCCCCTTAAATCCCCAAAAGCCCTTGTCATCTCTCCTCTACAGCATTTATCAGATACCAAGTCCTAATCCCTTTGCATCTCCAATAACAATTTGAACTGCATCTTGATGTAGAAAAACTAAAACTTAGGCCGGGCGCGGTGGCTCACGCCTGTAATCCCAGCACTTTGGGAGGCCGAGGTGGGCGGATCACGAGGTCAGGAGATCGAGACCATCCTGGCTAACACAGTGAAACCCCATCTCTACTAAAAATACAAAAAATTAGCCGGACATGGTGGCGGGTGCCTGTGGTCCCAGCTACTCGGGAGGCTGAGGCAGGAGAATGGCGTGAACCCAGAAGGCAGAGCTTGCAGTGAGCCAAGATTGTGCCACTGCGCTCCAGCCTGGGTGAGAGCGAGACTCCGTCTCAAAAAAAAAAAAAAAAAAAAAAAAAAAAAAAAAAGAAAAACTAAAACTTTTTATTACTAGAAAGAATCTTACATTTATCGAATACATCTATTATTCTATAGAAGATGAAAACAAGGCCTAAATGTTAACTAATGGGTTTTTTTAAGTTCCAGAACCAAATGAGAGGGTTGGAAAATTTTGTTTCTCCCATCTGTCTTTCTTCTGGAACAACTGGTCTACCGGCAAAATGACGTTTTGTTTACATCAGCATATCCCAAGCTGGAGTTTGGAAGAACTACACCTAGAAGATGTTGTGTAGTCAAACTGTATGGAAAACTCTAAGTTTCCTTCTGCAGGGCTTCTTGGATACTTTATAATGCTAAAATGCACTGTAAGTCTGCAAAAGTGAGGGTTAAAACAGTTTCAGAACTGATGGAGCTATTGTCTCCATCTGTCCCAAAAGGTTTTTCATCCCCATCTTCACGAGTAGCATACAGTGGAATATGTATAAGAAAAACGAAGTGCTAACTTGTTAGTGATCAGTCACATTTTAGCAAATTCAGTATAGATACTTTCCATGTCATTAATATAAGATTTAATCTGGCATAAGCATTTTTACTTATAATTTTATACTACCTTCATCATTACATTAGGACTAGTGACACACATATTATCATGTCAAATATATCTGTTTAATTAGTGATAATTAAATATTCAGATGTACAAAGAACTAAGTAAATGCTCCTGTGCCATTTTGACTATAAATAAAATTTTAATTATTAAGTTGAACTTTTATTTCCTTCTTACAATTCATAAATAATGTTATTGTCTATTCAAACAAAAGTATTAGCAAAATTGAGCAAAACTGCTGACTATAAACTAAGCCCTAAAAACAAATGCATAAGATGTAGAGAGCAAATTAATTTGAGTCCGAAACACTTTTTGTGCAGAATGTGCAAGAAAAGTGAACTAAGGCAAATTTATCAGAAGTAGCATAGGCATCTATTTTATGAGTATGGCATGTTGTCAACAAAAAGATAAAAATATTCAAGCCATAGTTAAAAGTTCATGCATTGCTCTTCCATAACACAGGCAGTTTGTAGTGAGACTAAACAAAGGAAAAATGATCACTTTTCTAGTCAATGCAAAGGACTTTTGTGACCTAGCTAGACTACAGCTGAGCTTCCAGCGCCAAACCAGTGATCTAAATGAAAGAAAGGTCTCACTCTCCTTCTTACCTTTTACTCACAGCTTGCCAGTTGTCGACTAAGAAGTCTTTTGCGACATACCGGCCAACTTCAGATGCTGCCACAATCTCGATTACATTTGTTTCATTAGAAGTGAATGGAGATGTGCTGATGGCATACTCCATAAATCTGCAAAAGTGCATTTGCAAAAAATACATTTTAAACATCCAACATAAAGAGTTAATTTAAATAAACGAAATCAAAATCGCATGGTTCTAAGATCGTGCAGCACAACTATGCATCGTTTTAATACTTACATTAGCACATTTCTATTTTTTTCCATTACCAGGAATTTTCAAGGTAAGTTGAGCATAATCACCTGTTAAGTATCCATGGGTCTTTGCTGCAGCTCATTGCATAAGCAAGTTGAATCTTTTCTTCTACCTTTGTTGTATTAGTGTAAGTATTTAACAAGATGTCCCACTCTTTATCACTTCCCAAGGCAATGCCATAACATAAAACCACATCTTTAATTGGATAAGGTATTCTGTAAAATATAACATAAAATGATATTTTTCATAGTAGTTATGTTTCCCCAGGTTATCATATTTTAGAGTATGAATCTAGAAAAAATATTTGTAGTCACAGATATAAAGGTCAAAAGTAGGAATCTGGAGAGGCAATTGTCAGAACTGTCATTAGCATTAATTCCATGAGAAGAGATCATCAATTCCAAACTAAGGGGCTTTAAGAAAGAAGGAAATTAGAATAGTATAGAGTATATTGATAATACAAGTTGGTCTTGTATCTCATATCTCATTATCACATTTCCTAAGAGTCCATCTGAGGTGGTATATTAAAGGGAATAAAACCAAAATAAGAGTCTCAGCGCTCAGTGAGGCAACAAACTAAGAGAGAGATGGAGAGGGAGGTGCTCTGCCGCACTCATAGATATAACAATCACAAACAATCATAAAGAACAACCTATTAAGACTCAAATCAAGCAGAGACAGCTCCAAATAAGTGCTTGTTGGAAGAATGCATTGGCAGTGAAAGGTCCTAGGTGACAATTCATTGTATAAATTCTCGTCTATTGTTATACACAGACCCACATTAAACACTGGTTTTTTAAAAAAGGTATTTGAAAAGAATAGTAGGAGAGAGCGCCTAACCAAGTGAAAGCAAAACACTCATTCCCACAGTGAGTACATCAAAAAGGGAAATTGCTGGTGCTTAAATAGGACAAAAACAAGAGGAATTACAATATTACTCTTACTCATTTTCTGGATGGTCCACCCATTTTGTGAAGAGTTCTTTTGACAGCTGAAGGCAGTCTTCAAGGCCCAACCAACACGCAGTTCCAAAAAGTTTTCCCAGTGATATTCTTGAAGAAAATGTCAAAGAAAAACAGTTTATTTTGCATTACCACCTTCATTTTCTCTGCTTCCAAAAATGTGTGTTTCATAAAAAGATGGGTATTTTTAAATATCCTTTCAATGACATTGGGTTTGTTTAAAAAAATTGCTTTTGTGGATGACAGAGGTATTTAAGATTCAGAGAAATATTTACTGAGAGGCTCCTAGGCACCAAAAAAAGCTCCTAAGACCAGTATTTTTTGAAAGTGAGAAACAAATTACTGCCATCCTTCATCTCCCTCAAACACACATGGGTGTACACACACTCCACAGCTGTTGTCAATTTATTTTTCCTCTCTTTTGCTAGAATTGCCTTATGGATAAAAAATGATTTTAGAGTATCTGATCTAATAGACTTTAAAATAAATTTCTTTCTCTATACAAGAAAGGGAAAGGGAAGAGTTCTTTTCTCCCCTTCTACAATTTGCTTTCTCTTGCTTTAGTGTGTTTCTTCTACTCCTCCTGGCTGTTATATACATGTTCAGAAAAAGAATAAAGGTATTTGGTTGGTTTGGTTTGTTTTTACAGCTGAGCAGGGGTATACACTGTACTTTAAAACAAAATAAGTTCAAAAGAATACAGTGAAGACCAATAATAAATCCAGGTAAGTGATGCCTTGTGGTCCCTACTCCAGTTTGGGGTCAGGGTAAAGAAACCCAAATTGGCCATAAGTTTCCAGAAAATGCAAGCCCCAAATCTCTGTTACTCCATCTTCCAGTTTCAACCCAGCCTGGCCTGACCTTCTGATAAGCTGAAGAGGAATATGTAAGGGTGGAGGTCCTCTGAGAGACAGTTCTAGGTATTCATTTACATACTCTACTCACTCCCTCTCCTCACCCATCCCAATCTAAAGCTGGTAGCAACAAGCTGGAGTTCTGTGGAAGTGCAATCTAACTCCCTAGAGCTGCTCTGAAGAGAACTGTCCCTGGGATGCTATAAAAAGTAGGCTGCTTCAGTCCAATTTAGGAGAGCCAAGGATATGTCTGGTTAACAAATATGCTGCCTGATTGAGCACACTTTTGCCTTCCCATTCATTGATGCAAATTGCCTAACCACTCTCGATCCCAGCTATTCCTTACCATTGTCCACCTACTCATCCATTACATTTTATGTCCTTCCAGTCACATCCCTTAGCACTAAAATTTCTGCCCTCCCAGAATAGTACTATTGAGTCAGAATAATCATACTTTGTATATTTTGTATTTCTTGCTCAGTCTAATTGATTTGAACTTGATGTTGGCCAGAAGTTGTAGGTATAATCCCTATCCTGTTACTGGCTACAGAGTCCCTCCCTAAATCTAGAGACCATCCTATGCACAAAACTTAGGACACAAGGAAGACGGAAATACTACCACCCCATTTTGCCTCTTGCCTCCTTCCTAGACCACCATGACAATGTGCTTACTCTCCTCACCAAACTGGTAATATGAAAGTCATCTGTGATACTAACCTGTGCTCACACACAGTGACTGATCTATATCACTGTCAACCTACCTCACCTTATCTGCATAATGACTGAATTTATGTTAACAATAATATACAGAGGGGACCTTTTCCCCTGTGACTTTCCCATGCCCTTAAACTCACTGGTATAGGCTAGCTTTGCTTAGCACACCTTCACCAATAGTAGGAAACATTTATAATTTCAATCAGTAGTCTAGGCTTTGAGAATATAGAGCTGTAAGTTCCTATGTGTACATGCACGTGCTTTGCAGGTAAATTAAGATCTAAAATGACTATTTTCTGTTAGAATACATGTAGCCCTCCAACCTCTGAGCTATTGTTCTCAAATAATAATAGCATATAAAATATCTCAATGAATAACAGGTATGAAGGTTTTATTTTATTACTTCTGGAAGCCTATTAATATGAATGCATTTTATTCAATTATCACTTCTGAAAACATACTTACAGAGCTAAGTAGTCATCTTGTAATGCCAACACATTTTCACGAATTATAGTTGAATAAATATTCCATATTAAATTAAGTCTCTTTAATAGGTACTTCTATAAACAACAAAGAAAATACGCTGTTAATTCTGGCTTGCAAACACTGAATTTTCACTGTATTCTATTTATTTATCTGAAAAGACATTGATAGGCAAGTGGCAGATACTTCTTCAGAAATTATCTTTATCTGTTACTAAATATATAAATGGTTTATTTTTTAACCTCTTTGGGTTTAGTTCCATTTTACATAAAATGTGGTTTACCATAATACCAATGTTACAGTGTATTATGAAGATTAAATAATATAATATATTGCAAGCACATTGCCTGGCACAAAGCAATAACTCAAAAAAAATTAGCTATAATTATCATTTAAAATCATTGCATACATTTCCAGTTATGTTCAAAATAGAGAAGAAATGTAAAAATATAAAACAGTCTTTCTACCATAAAACATCCATACTAAGTATACATTCCTCAAAAGAAAAAAAAAAAAAAAGAACTGGTTTATGTCCTGGACAAACTGAAGCCCTAATTTTAAAATAAATATAAGCTATCAGCTGGTAAATATAAAATTATAGAAGTTAGACATTTACTAATATATCCCTAAGAATTAACTAGATGCTGTTCATTGAAATTATTTAAAAACAAGTATTAGTTTTACTTCTTTACCCAGAACAAGAACAAGTCATCAGATGTTATCAATGAGCCTCCTCAATTTCACCAAATTATTAATCACCATCCCAAGGTCAGCTAAATTCCCATTGGTACTTTGGCCACTAGGAAAAAGAAAGTCTGGGACCATTAGAGGTATTTGTGATCTCACCCTCCAAATGGCCCAGAAATTCACCTGAAATCAGCACCTAACATACTTTTTGGTTTGTGTGACCCGTAACTCCCCAAAGAGGGCTACCTAACTTTTGCTTTGATTTCACCTTTGCTAATTTTTCCTGTAATTACTGTTTAAGATCTAACAATGGAAAATATATTTTTAAATTTATGATGGCATGTCATTTCTCTGTTCAGTAATTCTAATTTCTCCCTTTCTTTTCCTAACATCAAAAGCATCTTCAAATTTTTACATTTTCTGGAACATGTCTCTCTGGATTTAAGTGCTGTTCCTATGAGTCAGAATATTGCAATTATAGACACAGAGTTGTTACAATTCATTCTGGTTACCTAACAATCTCTTAGGAAAATAGTTGCTAATAAATACTATTCTTTTCCCTAAAAAAACAGGCATACCATTTCCATCCATTTCTGGTTTCTTAGGACACACTGCCACTTCACCAAGAATGAAGTACCCTTCCAAACCTCACTCATCTCCTAGACCAGGTCTACGACTAAGGTATTTTCTTCCAAGATCAATAAGCCATTGTTAAGGAAATGAATATATATATATATGGAACTAAGACTATTACTTTGGAAAAGACCTGTCTCACAGATGCTGGCTAAAATTTGAAAAAGAAGAAGAGAGGATTTATTTAAAAACTACATAAGAAAGAATGAAATTACCTTTAATAATGGGTATATATCATAGTTGTTCACATCAGAAACAAGATCCCTGGTTACCAAGTTTACCAAGACTGTATGCCATACTATAATTTCATCTTCTTCAGCAAGGTACTTGGTTAGCTCAAGTGCTGTTTCAATCTCAATATAATTGTTTCTGTTTGATTTAAAAACACACACACTCAAAAAACCTTCACTTGCTAAGTAATTTGCATGCGTTCGATATTTGTTCCATGTTTCAATGCCTGACTTCAATAAGGCATGTGAATAAGTCAAGAAATGAGAAGGTAAATGTCTCATTTTATAGAAAGGATGAAACCCAAGCAAAGTTGACAGGCCTTCCATTTCAATGTGGTACTTTCAAGTGTCCAAAGTCTTGAAGGCTAGAGAAAATTCAGGCCAAATGTTGGACTGATTATTAGGAAATAGAACAGTTATGCATTCTGTATGCATTCTTGTGACAGCATAGTTTGCATTCAACAAGTATTAATTAGAAGTCATTCTCTATCTAATGCTCTGACAGCTGCTGATGTGCACACCAACTACAGGCATGCCTCAGAGATATTGTAGATTCTGTTTCAGACACAATAAAGCAAATATCATAATAAAGCAAGTCACACAGATTTTTTTATTTTCCAGTGCATATAAAACTTATGTTTACACTATACTGTAGCCTATTAAGTAGCAATGGCATTATGTCTAAGAAAAACAGTATGCACACCTTAATTTAAAAGTAGTTTACTGTCAACAAATGCTAACAACAATCTGAGACTTCAGCAAGTCATAACCTTGGCTGCTAACTGATCAGGGTGGTAGTTGCGGAAGCTGGGGTGACTATGGCAATTTCTTAAAATAAGCAACAATAAAGTTTGCCACATTGCTCAGTTTCCTTTCACAAAAGATTCCTCTGTAGTATGCAATGCTGTTTAACAGCATTTTACTCACAGCAAAACTTCTTTCAAAATTGGAGTCAATCCTGTCATGCTTTAACAACTAAGTATACATAATATTCTCAATCCTTTGTTGTTATTTCAACAATGGTCATAGCATCTTCACCAGGATTAGACTCTTTCTCAAGAAACTACTTTCCTTGCTCATCTATAAGAAGCAACTTCTCATCCACTCAAGTTTGATCAAGAGATTGCAGCAATTCAGTCGCATCTTCAGGCTCCACTTCTAATTCTAGTTCTATTGCTATTCCCACTGTATCTGAAGTGACTTCCTCTACTGAAATCCTAATCCCTTGAAGTCATCAATGAGGACTGAAAATTTCTTCAAAACTCTTGTTTATGTTGATTTTTTTTACCTCCTTTCATGCATCGCAAATGTTCGTAATGGCATTTGGAATGATTTATCCCTTCCAGAAGATTTGCAATTTACTTTGGCCAGATTCATCAGAAGGATCATTATCTATGGAAGCTATAGCCTTATAAAATGTATTTCTTAAGTAACAAGAGTTAAAAGAAAGAAAGAAAGAAATTACTCCTTGATCCATGGGCTGAAGAACTGATGTTGTGTTAGTAGGCATGAAAACAACATTAATCTCCTTGTACATCTCCATCATAGTGCTTGTGTAATCAAGTGCATCGTCAATGAGCAGTAATATTTTGGAAGGAATCTTCTTTTTTTTTTCTCCTGAGCAGTAGATCTAAGCGATGGGCTTAAAATATTCAGCAAACCATACTGTAAACAGATATGCTGTCATTCAGGCTTTGTTTTTCCACTTACAGAGCACAAGCAGAGTTGATTTAGGTAATGTTTAAGGACACTAGGATTTACAGAATGGTAAATGAGCATTGGCTTCGACTTAAAGCTACCAGCTGCATTAGCCCCTAACAAGAGAGTCGACTTGTCCTTTGAAACTTTGAAGCCAGACATTGACTTGTCCTCTCTAGCTATAAAAGGCCTAGAGGGCATCTTCTTCCTATATAAGACTGTTTCACATTGAAAAACCTGTTGTTGGGACAAAAAACCAAACACCGCATGTTCTCACTCATAGATGGGAATTGAACAATGAGAACACTTGGACACAGGAAGGGGAACATCACACCCCCGGGCTTGTCCTGGGGTAGGGGGAGGGGGGAGGGATAGCATTAGGAGATATACCTAATGTAAATGACAAGTTAATGGGTGCAGCACACCAACATGGCACATGTATACATATGTAACAAACCTGCACATTGTGCACATGTACCCTAGAACATAAAGTAAAATTAATAAAAAAACAAGTATATGGGAAAAACAAAAAAAAAATAGACAATTTGGACTTCATCAAAATTAAATTGAAACTTTTATTTAAAACTTTTGTTCTCTGAAAGACCTTATTAAGATGATGAAAAGACAAGCTATAGGCTGGGAGAACGTATTTGCAAATTATATATAACTCACAAAGGACTTAGATCTAGAATATATAGAGAACTTCCAGAATTCAACAGTAAAAAATAAAATCTATCAGAAAATAGGAAAAGTCATGAAAAGACATTTCACTGTCATTTCACTGACTGATATACAGATGGCAAATAAGCACACAAAAAGATGTTTAACATCATTAGTCATTGGAGACATGCAAATTAAAACCACAATGAGATATTACCATACACCTATCAGGACAGCTAAAATATAGTGACAAAACCAAATGATGGCCATGATACAGAGGACTTCTATCACTCATATATTGCTGGCCAGAGTATAAAATGGTATAGCCACTTTGAAAAACAATTTGGCTTTTGTGCAGCATGTACCTCAGAACTGCAGGACATACTTAAACAAAGTGTTATAGAAAACTGCTGCTTGTGCAAATGCGGCACGTTGTGTACATGTACCCTAGAACTTAAAATATAATAATACTAAAAAAAAAAAAAAAAAAAAAAAAGGAAACAGAAAAACCTGTTGTTTGGTGCAGCCGTTTTTTTTTTTTTTTTTTTTTTTTGAAACGGAGTTTCGCTCTGTCACCCAGGCTGGAGTGCAGTGGCACGATCTCAGCTCACTGCAAGCTCCGCCTCCCAGGTTCACGCCATTCTCCTGCCTCAGCCTCCTGAGTAGCTGGGACCACAGGCGCACGCCACCACACCAGGCTAATTTTTTGTATTTTTAGTAGAGACGGGGTTTCACCATGGTCTCGATCTCCTGACCTCGTGATCCGCCTGCCTCAGCCTCCCAAAGTCCTGGGATTATAGGCGTGAGCCACTGCGCCCAGTGGTGCAGCCATTTTAACAATTATCTTAGCTAGATTTTCTGGATAACTTACTATAACTTCTACATCAATATTTGCTGCTTCACCTTGTACTTTGTTGTGGAGATGGCTTCTTTCCTTAATCTTCATGAACTAACCTCTGCTAGCTTTAAACTAGCACCTTTTCCTGCACCTTCCTCACCTCTCTTAGCCTTAATAGAATTGAAGAGAGTTAGGACCTTGCTCTGGATTAGGCTTTGGTTTAAGGGAATACTGTGGCTGGTTTGATCTTTTATCCAAATCACTGAAACTTTCTCCCTATCAGCAATAAGGCTGTTTCACTTTTTTTTTTTTTTTTTAATCATTCATGTATTCACTGGAGTAGTGCTTTTTAATTTCCTTCAAGAACTTATCCTTTGCATCTACAATTTGGCTGTTTGGTGCAAGAGGCCTAGTTTCGGCCTATCTCAGTTTCAACATGCCTTCCTCACTAAACTTAATCATTTCTAGCTTTTGATTTAAAGTGAAAGATGCAGGACTCCCCCTTTTACTTAAACCCCTAAAGGCCATTGTAGGGTTATTAATTGGCCTAATTTTATTTTATTTTTTATTTTTAGACAGAGTCTCGCTCTGTCACCCAGGCTGGAGTGCAGTTGTGTGATCTCGGCTCACTGCAAGCTCTGCCTCCTGGGTTCATTCCTTTCTCCTGCCTCAGCCTCCCAAGTAGCTGGGATTACAGGTGCCCACCACCATGCCCAGCTAATTTTTTTGTATTTTTAGTAGAGACGTGGTTTGCACCGTGTTAGCCAGGATGGTCTTGACCCCCTGATCTCTCCATCCGCCCGCCTTGGCCTCCCAAAGTGCTGGGATTACAGGCGTGAGTCACCGCGCCCGGCCCTAATTTCAATATTACTGATTCTCAGGGAATGGAAAGGCCAAAGAAGAGGGAGAGAAATGGAGGAATGGCTGGCCAGTGGAGCAGTCAGAACACACACAATTATTAAATTTGCGGCCTTATACAGGCACGATTCATTGCACCCCAAAACAATTACAGTCATAACATCAACAATTCCTGTTCACAGATTACTGTAACAGATATAACAATAATGAAAAAGTTTGAAATATTGTAAGAATTACTAAAATGTGACCCAGAGACATAACATGAGCACATGCTGCTGGAAAATGATGCTGATAGACTTGCTTGACTCAGGGTTGCCACAAATCTTTAATTTGTAACAAATGCAATATCTGTGAAGTCTTAAAGCGAAGCACAATAAAACAAGGTATGCCTGTAGTACATATGACACTGCACTTGCCTACCATTGAGGAGCTTCAATGAAGAGCTGAGACTTATGCATAAGAAACCAGTAATGAAAAGTCCCAGAAAAGGCAGTGAATACTGTAAAGTAGCAAAGAAGGAAAATATGCATGTAGAAAAGTCAGGGATAAGATAGAAAAGTCAAGGAAGGCTTCATGGAGGAGAAACTTGGGAAGAGCAGTGAAGGATGCATAGGATTAAAATAGGTAGAAAAAGAGGAAGGCAGCCCACGACAAATAAGATAAGGTGGGAATTAGTGTGATGGGCAGATGAAGCTAACTGAGGCAGGGGATTTCCTTTGTGTATAGTGAGAAATAGGGCCTAATAGGTAAGTCGGCTCAAACCTGTGCAGATCCTTGAATGTCAGGATGAAGAGTTTAGGTGGAAAGGTACTCTAGGCATTTAAACAATTGGAATAGCATAATGAAATTTATGTCTAACAATTTTATTGCAATAGTGTTACAGAAGACAGAATGAAATTCAAAAGGACTGAAGACAGGAGGCTAATTTAATAGGCCAGGCAAGAGATGAAGAAAGCTTGGCTTAGTGTGGAAGCAGTGAAAGTGGTAAAGTGAGCTTCCGAAAGACATATCTAAGAATGAAGAGATAAGACTTGGTGACTGTGCATGTAAGATGAAGTAAAGAGAGGAATCAAGGATATCTCTGAGGTTTCAAGTTTGGGTGATGAAAAGAAGAGTTCCTTTGCCATGCAGGGAGAAATTGATAGCAAGAGCAAGGTATAGACAAAAATGAAGTTCAGGGTTTAAGGTACTGAATTCATATGACCACAGGATAAACCTAAGACAGGAGGAAAGATAAGTAACAGTGTAGATTTGGAAGTCATCAACATGTCCTTCCACAAACATTTACTGAGGACCTTACATCTGCTGGCACTCTACAGATACGCAATAAAATGGTCACCAAAACCCAAGAGTGAATGAGTTATCAAAGGAAAGATAGAAGAAAGTAATATAACCATGATTGGTCCTAAGAAGCTCACAGCAGTAGAAGAGGAGTCAGATACACAAGGAGAACCAGGTTTGCATATCAGAGTCTAACGAAGCCAAAATGACATTTTCAGGAGGATGTAGTCAATAATAGTAAAGTCATGGTGATCTTAGAGAGAGAAGAATTTCAGCAAAGTATTAGACAAGGAAATGTACTGCAAGTCACAGAGGGAAAAAGGAGTAAAGAAGGATAAAATAAGTAGATATTTACTCAAGCAATATGTCTGGCTAAAGAAAGAAAAAATACTAGATAATTTACTACATATATTCCTTAATTTTATTGACTGAAAATTTAAATTCTGAATATTTATTAATTTACCTGGTTATAAACACTTAGCAGCATATCTTACACTGAGTACATCTAATATACATAAAATAAATAACTGTGCAATATATTAAAATACAGGCGAGATTGTATTAAAATTGTAGCCGTCACCCTTGGATAACAGAAATCACTGCCAAATCTCAATTGGTAGTCTTTTAATTTCCAGCAACTCATTATATTATAAAATTCCATTGCAGCTACAGAGTTGCATCCTATTCTGAATCAGTTGTGGCCCATATATACTAAATAATCAAATTCATAGTGATGCAGCTATTATTTTTATAAAGGTCTCGAGGTATATTCTAAAACCATGAGAGAAGAAAATATACTCACTTAGACAAGGAAAAGGCATCATCAATCAACTGCAGTCTGTGAATAACAGGAATAGCCTGCAGAATTAGACCCAAATATGTCCAGAAGAAGATGAGAACATTTTTCAGTAAAGTTTTCAAAATAACAACAATTTAAAGATTACTGCTGCCTATAAAACACCTTCATGTGAATTATCTCATCTGTAGAGAAACAATAATTACTGAGGATAGTCCCCATAATTTATTTATCATACATCTGTTTTTCAAATAAATGAACCCTCTGGGCATCAATCATAAGGTTTAAATATGGCAGAGAGTTCTGCCAAAATACTCCGGAAACATATCATGTTAAAAAACAAAATAGGCAACCAAATTTAAAAGGCCTCTCCAAAACAAGTATACATTAAATTGTATTTCAACATCCAAATTATTTTCAGGGACGTTTTTGGCATAGAAGCCCTTAAATAAGTATTATTTAGTGCTCTTTTCGTAACATTGAGGTATCATATTTTTTCACATGATATTTATCTTAAGATTTTACTAATGTGACAGAATGCCACCAACAGTTCTCTTTATATCCGTGGAACGGCAGGGGCCAATTGCCAGTGTAATTCTTTAGACTCTCATTTGAATTCCCTGGCATTGCCAGGCCATAAGACTGCTGTCAGCTCAGTTCCTAAGGGTGCCCAAGGCCTCCTACATCATACCTCCAGCGCCTTTTAGCACTGTGATCTATTTGGTTCAAAAACTTTATCTTCACAGCATTTCTTTAAGGGTCCGAGCAAGTCAAGTTTAATTCTTCAGCTGGTATAGTCTAATTTCTTTTCTGGCAGTACTAACATGTTTTCTAGATTAATATTAATCATAAAGATTCTCTTTTATTTGCTCACCAATTATGTTGTAGAAATAATTTGCCTCTGTTTTTCAATAAGTAAATCTACAATGGTTTCAATAAATAATTACTATAATGGTATAACCTCGTGCTTTCATGGCTTAGAATGCCCTTCAAAATGTAATAAGAATTTAGACACTTTGAAAAGATTTGAAAAGAAAATATTATTGTAAGTGGCCTTTGTAGCTTTATTCAAAATCCCAATAATTTGTTTTAATTACAGAATATGTTATGAATCCCTGAATTGTGTCAGGCCTTTGTTAAACATAATACATATATTATCTTATTTAATCTTCACAATAACCCTTTAAGTTTGGTATATTACACCCATTATTACACATATAAGAAACTGAGGTACAACCAGGATGCCTTCTCTAGCCTTTTAAAGGTTGATCTTTCTGTTAGGAAGAGACTCCACCTCCATTTGCACCCCCCACCTCCAGGAATACTGAAGAGAGTTTTTTGTTTGTTTGTTTTGGTTTGTTTTGTTTTTTCCTATATTCTTACAAAGGGGAGATTTGGCTCGAAGGTGCCATACATCTGGCAAACAATGAACAAAACAGGAACATAAGTCTTCCTGACCCAGAACCTAAGCTCTAAACCAATATGCTAGAGAAACTGCTGTGTGTCTCGGAGAACCTTCAAACACAGAGACACTTAACACAGAGACATCTTTTAGTTCAACACTCCAGTTTCGTAAATGGAGTCTAAATGAACCATCCAAGGGCTCACAGCAAGTCACAGCAGAGACAACAGTACTGACTCCTAAGCCGGCGTCCACTCATGGAAATTTAGTTTAATCCAGTTAAAATCTGATTGATTAGAACTGATCAACATTTTAGTGTTTATACACTGCATAATTACCTATAGTTATTTTATGATATAAAGTGATATTGAACTATTACTGATGTTTTGTGAATTAACTTCTCTCTTCTGAGGGAGAGTGGAAATATGTTTTTAGAAGTAAAATTAGTATTTTCTAGCATTTACTGAGTACTTATTATGGGTTTAGAAATTTTAAGTATACTTTCACCTACATCATCTCTAATCCTCATGATGAATAAAATATAATAATATTCTCATTTTAAAATGAAGAAATGGAACCAGGACATTTAAGTAATTTGCCAAAGATCACAAAACTAATGATTAATAGGAAAATGCATCCTGATTCCTACCTGGAAGGGTTGTTTTGGAAAAGCAAGATGAATGTTCAAAAACACAACACATTTAATCAAAATCTCCACTTGCTAAGAATAAGAAAAAAATACCTTTTGTAAGCCTGGAGGTGAGGGGTGGGGATGAAAGTAGAATCTCTTCCCACCAGAATGTTCAACCTCTAAAACACTAGAGAAGGCATTATAAATTATATTTAATTAAAAGTATCAAAAGTAATCTTACCTTAGGATCCTTTTCAAGTTGTTGATTTAGTTTCTTCCAACCTAATTTATCATAATTAACTCTATAATATCCAGTCATATTCAAATTCAAAATCACCCAGTCATGGTCAGAATCTGAAACTTGCATTTCAGGGAATACTTCTATAAAGGAATATGGGAATAATTTGAAATGGTACATTTAAAAAAGGTTTTAATACCTATTTATACTACATACTCAATTCTAAACAATAAACCAAAGAAACAAAAAATTAAAAGAATTCTAAAATATATATTGCTCTTACCAGGTCATTACATATTTTTCACATATAATAGCTTTTGATTTGACATTTCTCTTTAAAACTCTATGTTCAACAAGAATATTTTAGTTTGAAATGAGATAGCTTTTCAAAAGCTAGACATTTCAGTATTTTATTCCCTGCCTTTATATGTGCATATATGTAAAGATGTTTTTAAAATTTGTTACTTACTGCTTCTTTGATCTAGCCAAACTAAAGATTGCGTAGTTCCATTTTTTATCCAAAGAATAGGGACAATCCATGTGTCACTTATTGGAAGAAAATAAAAAATTTAGTTACTTTTCGCACACAAAAACATACACTCTGAGCCACGATTAAAGAGACGATGAAATAGCACACAGAACTCGGATTCTTGGTCATTCTCTCTGGATATGCAGAGAGGATTACTTACCACTGTTTCTACAAGCTAGTTTTACTTTCGCTATTGTTTACTCCTCTCTCCTGTTATGTCTTATGGATTTACTTCCTTTTATAACTTAGGTAGCTACTAAAACTCTTATGTCTCAAACCTTTAAGGCCTGTGTATGTTAAATTATAGACACCTGGCTTCACTCAAGGGTAGTTCAAATGCTGCAAATAGACCCAAATCCATCCATGCCCAGAGAGGTGAAAAGTAGTTTAGAAGAAAAAGCTTGACAATCACTTCAAAATACTTTCAGCCGCAAGCATTCTCCCCATCTGAAAAGTATTCAACAGGAATCATCCATGACATTTATATTTATTGAATGTCTGCATTCTTCCCACATTGCTGGATGTGACCTGGATGAAGTAGCCAACCACAGGAAACACATTCATCATCGGAAGAGATTACTCAGAGTTTGGGCAATATTTCCAATCTTGTTAAGCTCTCACAAGCCTAGTGTCTTGAAGACTGTCAACTGTGGGTCTGTGTGTATCTGCATAGCTAAGACACACAGGTCTTCTCAAAAATCGCAGAGTAATACAGTGTCCCATTTCTCTCTCCTGAGGCTTTAAAGAAAGAGTAGAACTATCTGAAAATTTTGGTGATGGTATTTGAAAATGAATTACTCATTCGTGCTGATACTGCAATGAAATGTGAAGATTAAAACTACCAAAAACTGTTGAAAATCAGCTAATAAATTAAGAAAGGGAACAGAAGAAGAAAGGGATATAGTCTAGGCTATTTTATACTCTTTTCACTTTTACACAATCTTTTGGGATACATGCTACTGCGTGTATTTTATAGATAAGGCAACTGAAACTCACAGAGCTTAAATAACACCTAAGGTTTGAATTTTTGAGAAGTCAATATCTGAACCCAGGTCTAACAGAATCTAAAGGCCATCATTCTAATGTTGTGGGTATGGCTACAAATACACAAATGCACGCATCCACACACATATGTGCACACCCCCGCACAGAACTATTCCTCAAGGAAATAGTTACCATTCAGTTTCATTTTTAAGGAAGAGAAGACTACTCTGCAATAAGACTTCCTTTCCTCTTTACTAAAATATGGCAATCTATGGCTCTTATTGTCTCCAATTTAGAGTCCCAAGTAATTCATTACCTCTGTCTGAGGGACGAAGAGGAACACACAATACTCCACAGCTTGGGTCGCTGATGTAACCCTAAATCCCAGGGTAGGGGCACTGTGTCTTGAATCCCTAACTGTGGGTCTCTGGCCTTGCCTGGACACAAGGACTCTGCTTCACCCTAGTACACAGTCACATTGCAGAAGTGTGTATGCCCAGCGGGGGTAATGCTTCTTCACCCACAGGCTGGATTCCATTGGGTCAGAGCTCACCCCCAAGGAAAGTGAAGACAAAGAAGAGCAAAGCTACCTACTTGCTGGTTAGAAGAGTCTGATTTTTAACCTTTTCAAGATAAAATGGCTCCTGTTTCATGACACCAGTAGACACATTTAAAGTGATCACTGGAAAACCACTCTGGTGTGTCCAACTGTCCATTATTTTTTTTATTGTTGCTGGCAAAATAACTGTATTCTGGTCATCTATGGCCTGTTTTAAAAAATCATCACAAAAGCAGGTAAGGTTATCAGTGAAACATTTTGAAGTAGCAATCTCCAAAAAGAAGCTCGGTAGCTATTCTCTTCCTCACTTATGTAGTAGTCCTGCAGTGGGTGATCCTCTGGGGCAAATTTGGAACTCTGTTTATATATGAATCGTTCTTTAATTCATTCAATAAATATGAACATATATTTATTGATCTAACATGTTCCATGCTCTGTTCTGGGCGCTGGGAATATAGTGAAGACTAAAGACACTACCCATGACCTAAGGGAGTTCTACAACAAGACAAAGTTGTTTTCCTGTGGAACTGCCATTCATCCATGGCCTCCCAGTCTTTTCCAGTATCATACAAAACAACTCAGCAAGAACGTGTCAGAAAGTAGGACAATTACCATTTGAAAATGCCTCCACAGATCATCTTGCTCAGCATTTGAGTAGGAAAACGTCTTCAAATATGACTGTAAAAATAGAAAAGTTAAGGTTAAAATAAATAACATGCCAAAGCAATTTCTGTTTACTGCCATCCAGGTAACAACTATTTTGCAAGCTCACCTTGAGTGCACTGACAAATAAATGCTCATTCAAGAAACCAGAAAGCATCCGGGCCATAGACGCTCCCTAGGAAAAAAAGAAGCTCTCTGTCATTTGAACGAAATTCAATATCCCCATACTGACACATTCCATATTTATAAGCAATATTCTGAGCTGTGCTCCTGATTGCATTTTGCATTTTAGTTGAATGTTTGAATTATTTCGGAATGTGCTAATAAAATAGTACCCTAATTAAGAGGTAAAAGGTAAGCAGATGTCCTACATGTAAAGAGTGCAGAGTACATAACATTTTTAAAAATTGAGATCTTTACATAGCAAGAATAAATTTCCATCAAGCAGAAGGGTTCACCTTAAAAGTAGCAAGTTGTTAAAGTCTATGGTTGATGGATCCAAGCATTAATATGGGCTTGATAGATATTTGCAAGGTAAGAATTAATTTAATCATGTTTTCTGAAACCTATGTATTGAATTAAAATAAGGTTATTTTCATAAAAAGTTTTAAGTTGTATATTGATATAGGACCCTTAGAGTCCACTTTATGCAACTTTCTACAAGAGTACAAAACCAAAGGAAATTTCTAACTGCTTTTACCTTGCTGTAAGTAAATAAGTCATAGAGTTCCTCTATTTCACTTGTTTTGAAATGTTCCACCTTCAAGGCCACAGCTCTAGTCACCAGGGCGTGATCTTCTCTGAGGACATTATGTAAAATGTTGGAAAAAAAGATCTCATTCTATAAAGGAAAAGATTGAGCAACATTAACTCCTGAGGTGTCACAGAAAACCAAAATTCTATGGTCTTCAAATACTTTCAAAAACTGATATTGAAGAGGGAGAAAATTCAGTAATTAAGAAGTGTCTATGAATTGAAAGATGCCAAATAAGTCAGGATTCCTTGAATAACAAAACTAGAAGACACTTTCTTTCTCATTTGTATCCTTTTTCATTTCAGTTTTTAAAAAGTCAATTACAAAGTTAATACAGTTTCCAAAAGCCACCTACATTTCCGACAGGGAGGTCCATGGCCATCCTGAAAGGGCCTTCCTTAAGGTGGTTTTAATTATCTAAAATTTCATCAGTAATTTTATCAATAACTCCTTAAAATTAATCAGCCTCTCTTTCATGAATATTTACAAACTAAAAGCATGCCAGATCTACAAATTCACAAACATGCTGATGTAATAAATGAAAATTGAAAATAAATCTGGATACTACAGTTTATGGCTCATGCATTAAGATAAGGCAATTTATTACATTTTAATGAGAACCACAGGACTCTTCAAAAGACTAGCTCTCTCTCAGACACATGATAAGGGCAATTTCTCCCTGAAGTAAAGCTAGAAGAAAAACCAGTTGATAGCCAGAGAGCTTTGTGATGACAGAGCTAGAGCAAAGACCAGTGGAGAAGTTATACTGACACACGTTCATAGCCTGGACAACCGGGTGAACCCCTCATGATCCACAGGAACCCTCAAGTCCCTATTGACTATCTTTGGGATCTGCAAGTTGACTCTCTCAGCCTTTGACAGCGTCAGATTTTCAAAACCTGTTTCACTTCCATTTGCCAATGTTCTCATCAATCCCTTTCTATAAGCACATAATTTTATAAGCACATTATTTCTATAATCAATTCAATCAACCATTGATTAGGCTATTATCAAACTCTGCTTTTCCGGAAATAAGAAAACCTATCATTTAGAGCAATACATCTCAAATTTTAACATGAATAAGGATCACCAGGGGATTTTGTCAAAATCATCTTCTGATTCAGTTGGTTTGGGTTGGAGCTTTTATTTCTAATAAACAACCCGATGATGCTGGTGCTGCTAGTTTGAGAATCACACTGAGTAGCAAGGATTTGGAGGAGTCATCAGTAAGCATGGATTTTATTAGTTTAACACTCAAGGCGTCTTAAGAGTGTCTCACTTGGGCCGGGCGCGGTGGCTCAAGCCTGTAATCCCAGCACTTTGGGAGGCCGAGACGAGCGGATCACGAGGTCAGGAGATCGAGACCATCCTGGCTAACACAGTGAAACCCCGTCTCTACTAAAAAGTACAAAACACCAGCCGGGCGAGGTGGCGGCGCCTGTAGTCCCAGCTACTCGGGAGGCTGAGACAGGAGAATGGCGGGAAAGGTCAGGAGATCGAGACCATCCTGGCTAACACAGTGAAACCCCGTCTCTACTAAAGTACAAAACACCAGCCGGGCGAGGTGGCGTGCGCCTGTAGTCCCAGCTACTCGGGAGGCTGAGACAGGAGAATGGCGGAACCCGGGAGGCGGAGCTTGCAGTGAGCTGAGATCCGGCCACTGCACTCCAGCCTGGGCGGCAGAGCAAGACTATTCCCAAAAAAAAAAAAAAAAAAAAAAGAGTGTCTCACTGGTGACCTATAACCACAATGTAGAAAATAGAATAAAATCACCCGTAATATCGCACCCTCAGCCTGTTAAAATGTTAGTGTAGTTCTTTTCCATCATTTTTCCTATGTACTATTTATTCCCATAGTTGTAAAAACTTTTTATCTTGCTCATTTACTTATTACAGCATTTTACAATTTTGCTACCTCATCTTTATAATTATCCCTTATAATGGCTGCTGCATTATAAAGAAAACAGAAACATAAATTGAAAGAAAACAAACCAAAATTTAATAGTGATTATCTCAGTGTGATCAAATCAAGATGATTTTCTTCTTTTCAAAGTACAGCAGATAAAAATTTTGCAAAAGAAAAACCTTAAAATATATAAATACATAGCTGCATAATAACCCATCGGGTCAATGGCCCATAATTGATTCAATCATTTCTTTTATTAGCTAGGCATTTAAGTTACTTTCAGCTTTTTGCTGTTTTAACCAGTTTTAATGAATATTTTTGCACATACTGCTTCTCTACATTTTGTGGGTCTCCCCTAACCCCATCAGAACAGATTGTCTTTCTTTCTTCTGCCTGCCTGGCATAAGGTTTTATGTAATCTTCTTGATATCACTATAACCATACAAGGTAATTAATGAGTGAGACAAACACCTCTTCCTCAACACCCTAGAGGTCTTTCTACTCTGGGCCTCCCATAAAGTGATGCTGTCCGTAGCCTGTTTCAGTTCTATTGGAGGGAAACATTACATAAAACATGATGTCAGCTTTTAAAAAAAAAACTAGCTACTGCATATAGTGATTAGATAACGTGAATCTGTATATTCACCATTAATTTGTCCCACAAGCTGCAATATGTCAGAGAAGGCCTATTAAAATTTTTTCCTTTTTTTTTTTTTTGGAGACAGTCTCACTCTGTTGCCCAGGCTGGAGTGCACTGGTGTGGTCATAGCTCGCCACAGCTTCAATTTCCTAGGCTCAAGCAATCGTCTCACCACAGCCTCCTGAGCAGCTGGGACTACAAGGGTGCACCACCATGCCCAGCTAACTAAAAAAAAAATTTAGTAGAAACGAGATTTCACTATGTTGCCCAGGCTGGTCTTAAACTCCTGAGATTAAGAGATTCTCCCACCTTGGTCTCCCAAAGTGTTGGAATTACAGGTGTGAGCCACTACACACAGCATAGAATCTACTTTTATCCTTAGAAATATAACAAATATAACACTATTTATTGTAATAAATTTGTACAGAATATCATGATGATTAAAAACACAGAATCTGGAGTTAAAGTGCCTGTGTATGAATCCTTCCTCCGTCCTTTAGGAGTTAGGTGACTCATCAAAGACCACCAACTTTATCTCTCTGAAACTCAGTTGCCATCTGAAAATGGGTAAAACAACAATGTCTTCAAAGGATTATTATGAGGACTAAATTAATTTTCATAATGTTACAAGCACAACAGATAGCAAATAGGACATGCTCCATAAGGGTTAACCACTGTGGTGATTACTTATCATTATTTTTATTATTATCCTTCAGAATTGTTCTGAGGATTGAATGAGATAATATAAATAATTCTATTTAAGTACATAAAACTAGTACCTAGTTAGTGGTAGTTGTCTCAACAGTACCTAGCAGATGCCATTATCATCTGTTGAATGACTGCATGAAACCCATTTTACAAATGAGGAACTAAAGCTCAGAGGTGTTCATCTGCCTGCCTCAGCTTACCATCATAGTAAAGGCAGAGTAACATCTGATGGCTGCAGTGCCCATGTGTACCTTTTCCCTTCACCAAGTCTGCTGCTTTCTTAGATCAGGCAGCAGGAAAGTGGAGGAAAGTCAGTGAGTGGCAATGTCAGGGCTAGAGCTTCAGAGATCCAGAAAGCCTTTGTCCTTAATGTTCTGACCCCAAGAGCATAATCCATTCATATCAGCTGAAACTAGACCTCGAAATAGAAAAAAATTGAAAATCTGTTTCTGCCTAAGGGTCTATGATTCTGTTACTCAATTTCAATCATATTATTAGATTAAAAGGAGGTTAAAGTTCTTGATCTCCAAAAATCTTTGAAAGCTAAGCTTTTTAAAAACAAAGAACGTAGCAATGTCCTCAATCACCAGGATCTGACGCTTTCACTCAGCTCCACAAGCAACTAAGAGATATAGAAAAGAGTGACTAACAAACTAATGATAAAAAGAAATAATTAAAAGGTACAAAAAGAGACTAACGTTGTAATCTTAGCTTCAAAAATACCAGGAAGATGTTTTTGGCAAGTTTTGCGAGATATTGATAAAACCTTAACCATTTTAGTTGTTATAAGAGGTAACTGAAATTGATATTCATGATGTATTCTATCTACTTAAGAAAATAGAGTAAATTTCATTGTCTTACGGGAATTAAACTTTTTCCCTTATTAACTCCATCCACAGAGTTAACTTAGGACATATCCAACTGCTTTTAAAAGAAATTAGAGATGGCACTAACCATGAGTGAATAAAAGTTATGAAAGAGAGATACAAATGATTTTGTAGGCATAGAGTAAGTGGAAAGGACTGTTGGAGACAGCTAAGACAATAAACGCATACTATATGTAGATAAAGTATATGCATATATATATATGAAAAGAATTGTATATTGAAGACACACACACACCATTCGCTTCTTGAGGATAAGAACAATCCAGTGTGTTTTTGCCATAGAGCACAGTGGTTAAAAGCATGGGCTTCGCAGTTGGCGTGACCTGGAATTGAATCTCAGTTCTGACATTTAATAACTATGAGACCTTGAGCAACTTACTTAATGCTTCTATACCTCAGTTTCCTCATGTGTAAAATAGAAATAACAACAGCACTCATACAGTTGGTTTGAGGACTGAATAAGATGATGTATGTATAGTGCTCACACTGCCTGGCACTTAAGTTCTAAGTACTCACTGCATGGTAAATACAGTATTATTGTTGTTATCGCCATATGCTTGTCATCAGACTAGACCTAGACAGCTAGTTATAAAATCAGGCCTGTCCCAATTGGGCAAATGACCTTGGGCAAGTCATTTAACCTTTCAGTACTTCAGTCTCCTGATCTATATAATGACATCCAAACTTTCCTCCAGGACAAGTAGGGCCTGTGCATAGTCCATGGGGAGGAAGAGAGAGGCGCTGCCGAGTGACTGGGCTGGGGGACTCTTATAGGATGTCTATAAAGGGCAGGGAGGTGGCATGGAACTCGGGTGTTAAAAGACTGCACTACATCAGTGCTTGCCAGATCTGTGATTTCACAAACAGATAAAAAGAGATTTTTAAAAAGGTTTCTGTGGCACTAAGATAGGCTTGTCAACTTTTTTTTCCCTGCCAAACTATCAACCAAAACAAGTACCATCTACCTACCGTCCATTATCAAGTTTCATAAAAGAAGGAAAGCTTACTTCCAAAATAATAGAAAGAATATCATCTTAGAATTTCCTTCAGAATGAATAGATTTAGCCTGTAAAGAAGATCCAGCAAGTAGAGATAGCATTAAATATTAATAAACACTTTGAATGAGTGAAGGCAGGGAGGAGAAAAGAGGTCAATAATCCAGCCTTGGAACAACGGGAGCTGAGATGAGATGGGGACCAGCAAAGAGGCAGGAAGGAGCAATCCTGAGGACCAGAGAGGTTACAGGAGACAGAAAAGAGGAGGGGAAGAAGATGCAAACCAAGAAAGGACCTCTGGTTTATAAAAGAAGTGAGGTTTATACCAAAAGATAACATTAAGTCTAAACATTTAGATAGCTAAATCAAATCAATTTGGTTTTATCATGGCATTCTAAAAGCACTACATAATTACCCTAAATAAATTAAATATCAGAAGTAAAACCTACAGTTGAAAGAATTAGATTTGCACATGGATGTATTTATTTTTTAATATTACTATTTACTCAAATTAGCAAAACAATATCAGCAATAGTATTAAATATGAAGTATCATATTACTTATCATAAAAGCCATACACTACTGTTACAGTTGCTTTAAAATACAGTCTAGGTTGGGCACGGTAGCTCACGCCTGTAATCCCAGTACTTGGGAGGCCGAGGCTGGTGGACCTTTGAGTCCAGGGTTTGAGACCAGTGTGGGCAACATGGCGAAACCCCATCTCTACAAAAAAATACAAAAATTATCTGGGCATCGTGGCACACGCCTGTAGTCCTAGCTATTCGGAAGGCTGAGGTGGGAGAACTGCTTGAGCCCAGGAAGTCGAGATTGCAGTGAGTCAAGATCACGCCACCACACTCCAGCTTGGGTGACAGCAAGACCCTGTCTCCAGCCTAGGTGACAGAGCAAGACCTAGACTATATACATATATAGTCCATATAGTAGGAATAAGAAATATATGTAGTAGGAATAAGTGAAAATAATCTTAGGCAGTCATTTAAAATCTTTTTTAAAAAGATCTAATAATTTGTAGAAATGCTCAGGATTATGAAGTGGAAATACGAATAGGTAGAAATATGAAGGAGAATATGAAGTAAAAAAAGCAATATAAAATTTTATGTAATTCCCACTTTCAAAAACATTTACAATAGATAAAAAGCCTAGAATTAAAAAAATATATCAAAACGATAACACAAATTATTTTTGGTATCATAGGTAATTTATTATTTCTTGTATTTTCCTGTATTTTATACATTTTCAAGAATTAATATACATTACTTCTATAATTAGGAGAAAAAATGTTAAATAAACTTAATAAACATACTTACTCTTGGGAGTTTAGGATTAAAGTAGTTAATTACTTCAAACTCAAAATAAGATGCAAAACCCTCCTTGAGCCAGATGTTGTTCCACCAATTCATGGTAACCAAGTTTCCAAACCACTTTTGGAAATAAGAAGAAAAAAGAGCTTTCTTAAATTTAATTTTTAAGTTATATTCATTGTAATTGCATGTTAAGTAAATGTAAGGTCAAAAGACATAATTAAAATTTATTTGCCATCAATAACAAAACTTGAAGACAGGACAGCAAAAAAACAAGTTGTTGTTTTCACATAAGGAGATATTAGTCATGCATTTCTCAGAAATATTCCATGTTCAGTGATTAAAAGCAATTTTTGTTTTAAAACTGTGATGTTTAAACATAAGGTCAGTTAGAATAGCATTTCTTAAACTGTCCACTTGGCCCAAAAGTTGTTTTTAGTTCCATAAAACAGAAGCCCTGAATGCTGACTTGCCACCTACTAATTCTAGTACCTTATACTCTAAATAGGCTGCAACTGGTTTTTACTTTAAGCAGTTGTTTATATTTTAAGAACTTGATAATTTGATCTGTGCCATGTACAAATCACTCAAGTAATCATATGTTCTGCAATATAGTTCAGCTGTAATTATTTTCTGTTTGAACTGAACAGAAAAAAAAAAAAAAAAAAAAACCAGTGCCAAATAGATGATGAACAGGATTAGGAAAGAAAAACAATGATTTCCAAACTAACAAACCCGAGGTCTGGTATTTAACCAAATTCTTATAACAGCTATAATTACTAATAGCCTGTACTGCAAAACAATGTGTCACTTAGGCTATCATAAAAAATGACACTTTGGGTGATTTAATAAAACTTGTGAATGTGTGTGTTTTACTGTGCACCAGGGTATTAGTCAATCCTAGTAAACTGCTCTTTTCCAAAACTTCTTATGGAGCCACATTACTAAGATAACATCGTTGAGATTATTTCTTTCTTAACAGATTTGTATTAATGGAGCAGACACTGAAATGCAGATAAGAAAATCTTCATCAAATTAAACAGCTAAACTTCTAAAATCCCAATGCAAAAGCAAATAGATCTGATTAAATGGATTGTCATTTACACAACCATTGGGAATGCAGCTCAAGGGTTAATTATTGCCACCTTGCTAATGTATTACCTGCATCCATTTAACCTCTCTCCAACAACAGCAACAACAACTAGAAATTTATAACAATCTGCTGATGAAATGTGCATAGCTTTCGGTGATCCTTTTGAATAACCCTTAGTTTAGCTGAAATGAAAATAAAATACTCCTGTGTCTGCATGGCTTACTTTTCCTGAAGAGGACTTTGTGGAGCAAAGTTAATTGTTGGATGTAAATACCCAGCCCTCAGACGAACTGTACAGTCTCCTTCCTATGATCTGTTACCAGTAGTTCAAATCCACCCTGAATCTGAGTCTTCCCCATTTTTACTCACTGTCATACTTTGCGATGTTTTTCTCTTTAAAATATGGTATTTTAAAAGATGGCAGGGTCTTATTGAGGTTTTTATGCTATTTTGGTAGCGCACCTGGAAAATAACTTCACGTGAAATAGAAAGAACATTTTACCACATGCCTGGTGTCCAATCTCGTGGGAGACAATGTAGGAGATCAGAATCTTTTTTTCTGTCAGTTGATCTTTTGGTTCCAACAACAATACTGATTCATCAAATATCATTAGTCCCCAGTTTTCCATTGCATGGTTGTCAAAACTAGGCAAGGCAATTATATCTAAGTGGATTTAAATGGAGGAGAATATAAAATAATATTTTCCAAAAAATGGGATTTTTTAAATATCTCAAAATGAAATCATAAAATTGCCAAAAAATACAAGAGAATATTTATAACCTGAAGGCAGAGAAAGCTTTTTAAAGACTAATACCAAAGACAAAAGCCAGCAAATAAATTATTTTGACTATGTTAAAATAAAATATTCTTGATAAAGGCTTGTATTCAAATATACAAAGAATGCTTATAACTCAGCAGTAAGGAAACAAACAACCCAACTACAAAATGGGCAAAAGATCTGAAAATACACCTCACTAAAGAAGATATATAAATGGCAAATACACATATGAAAAGATGCTCAACATCAATTGTCATTAGAGAATTTTAAATTAAAACAATGAGATACTACCACACACCTACTAGAATGGCTAAAATCCAAAACACTGGCAACACCAAATGCGGATGAGGATGTGGAGCAACAGGGACTCTCATTCATTGCTTGTGGGGATGCAAAATGGTACAGTCACTATAGGTTGACCATAAGATCTGACAATTACATTCCTTGGAATTAACCCAAATGACCTGAAATCTTATGCCCACCCAAAAACCTGCACACAAATGTCTATAGAAGCTTTATTCATAATTGCTAAAAGTTGGAAGCAACCAAGATGCCCTTAAATAGGCTAATAGATAAACAAACTGCAGTACATCAATACAACAGAGTATTATTCAGTGATGAGAAATGATGGATCATGCTAGGAAAAGATATGGGAAATTTTAAGTGCATGTTGCTAAGTGAAAGAAGCTGGTCTGGGAAAGCTACATACTATGCAATTCCAACTATATGACATTCGGGAATAGGCAAAACTATAAAGATAATAAAAAGATTGGTGGTTGTCAGGGATTCGGGGGAAGCAGGGGAAGATAAATCGATGGAGCACAGGGGATTTTTATGGCAGTGAAACTATTCTGTATGATACTGCAATTGTTGATACTGGTCATTATACACTTGCCAAAACCCATACTGCTGTACAATGCAAAAACTGAACCGTAAGATAAACTAGGGAGGTTAGTTAATAATAATGTTTCAATATTGTAGCAAGTGTACCATACTAATGCAAGATGTTGACAACAGGAGAAAGGAGGGAGATGGAAGGAAAGAAAGAATATATGGGAATTATCTATTTTTTACACAATCTTCCTGTCAACCTAACACTGCTCTAAAAATAGTCTATTTATATTAAATACTTTAGCCAGGCATGGTGGCTCATGCGCATAATCTCAGCACTTTGGGAGGGCTAGGCGGGTGGATCACTTGAGATCAGGAGTTCAAGACCAGCCTGGCCAACATGGTGAAACCCTGTCTCTACTAAAAATAGAAAAATTAGCTGGGCATGGTGGTGTGCACCCGTAATCCCAGCTACTGGGGAGGCCGAGACAGGAGAATCACTTGAACTTGGGGGACGGAGGTGTCAGTGAGGGGAGATTGCGCCACTGCACACCAGGCTGGGTGAAAGAGTCAGATGCCGTCTCAAAAAATGAATAAATAAAAATAAATATTTTAGTTCACCAAAATACACTATAAACAAATTTGAAAGGCAAAGAATAATATAGGGAAAAATACTTAAAGCATATACCACAAACAATTAGATAACTTTTTAATATTTAAAGAACTCTGAGAAAACAGAGAAAAAACCAAACGTGAACAATGCACCAAAGAAATACTTCAAACAGCCAAAAATCTTATTTAAAATGGTCATCATTAATCATCAAAAATCAAAAATTAAAATGATTTATCTTTAAAATACATAGGAGTCTAATAATTAATATGTGTAGGTATAGGAAATTTGGCACATAGCCTACAGGTAAAGTGTCAAATGGCACAATAATAACCCAAACACCTAGCTCTATCAGTCACTATAATATTTTGATATTCAGTCCAACTTTTGACTTGAGAGTGAATTAAAATGATAGCAACATGAGAAAAAATACTGTTCTATATAAGGGATACCTGAACACCATTCATATAATCTTAGATTCTAAAGTTTAGAATTCACTGAGCAAGCTACAAGAAAATAAGCTAAAAGAACAACACAGAAGAAATAAAACAAATTGTTTTTCACCCAACTCACTGACGGTAAGGGTATGGCATATGCGGGAAATACTGGTAGGGGAGGCATTTGTTTTGTTTTGTTTGTGACTCAGCAAAGAGTTAAAGCAATTAAGAAACATTATCTTTCTCCTAAAAACCCAGTAATAGAGGAACTCTTTATTTTAATCACCTATCAATAAAAATAAGGTTTTGATTGAGTGACTCCTATGAGCGCTCATAGGGTAACATCAGTTGAGATGCTATGAAGGTTACAAAGAAAGTATCAAATGTATCCCTGATGTCAAGGAATTAATAATCTGGTCAGAATTTAAGTGGAATTACTGAACTAATCGCATATATTTATTTCCTCCATCCCCCAAAAAGTTTGCGGTTGACCACCTGACTGCCATGGGTTCTAGAGACACAAAGAAAAAGACCCTTCAGATCCTAACTCCAAGATCTAATGAGAGAGATAATTAAAATACAATTGGTCAAGAGTTCAAATGGAGGAATATGCAGGATGCTGTGGAAGTGTGAGAAAAGAAGTCAGGGAAGGCTTCCTGGACGAGGAGGCACTGAGTTGAGAAACAGAATTGAATTAAGCAGTGGATAGAAGGCATTTCAGGATGTGCAAACAGCATGTGTAAGAGCCTGGCGGAGACAAGAGGAAGGTGAACACATAGGAGTGAGCAGAGACAGTGCTAGAGCATCCTTCCCACTCAGGAACTGCCAAAAGCCCTGAGAGGTTGGTAAGAGAAGCACCTTTAGAAAGACATGGTACTGACTTCGGACTTAACCCTCAGGGCAATGGGAGGTCACACAGAGGTTTTAAAGAGAACAGTAACATGATCAGATTTTCTCTGGAAAGATCCTTCTGGTTTCATATGAAGGATGGCTTGGAGGGAATATGGAGAAGCTATGAGAGTACAGCTGTGGTGGAGATGATGATGAAAACTAGGGAGAACCAAGGGGACAGTAAGAAGTGAAAGGATGGATGGATGGATGTAGGGGATGATAAGGCGACTAATTAGATCGAGGGTGTGCTTCAAGGGAACAGGGTGTCAAGGATGACTCTGGACTTCTCATCTAAATAAATACAAATATAACTTTTCTTGCCAAGACAAGGGGCATTTTGGGAGCCTCAAGCCCCAGAAATGCCAGGAGCTTAGTCTCCGTGCCTGAGCTCCTGCTGCATCCAAATCCCTGAATTATAGGTGCTACCTCCAGGATTTCTGTATGGGCCAAGGGTGGTTTCCATCTCTTCATTCCCCATTCCTCCTTAGCCAGAATGCTCAAGCTGCAGAGACCCTGACTTCCTGGGGTTCAGAAGGCTCAAGCTCCCAAATATTTACTCCCCACCTTCTTCCACTATCTGCCAGTATAGGCAGAGCATACTTTTTTCAAGTCTTCAACTAACGCGTCAGAGGAACAAAATACATTTACATGATACTTTCAATTTAGAGAGAAAAAACATTGAACAACTTTCTGAGCTGAGTGACTCATACAATTTTAAGGACATACCACATAGATCTATGAAAGGTTAAATATTTACGTATTTTCTTAAGGATCATATTATATTCACATATCATTCCAATTTTATACAATGAAAATTCACAGTTGGGACCACTAAGTCCGAATTTAGTGATTCACAGCTAATGGATATTTTAAAAAGCACAACTTAGTAAAGGGAACTGAAGTAACTTCTGAAAGCCCACTAGCTAAAGTGATCCAGACACAGCATTGCAAACTTGCAGTATGAGAGAAAAGGCCTGAACACGAAAGAGAAAGCAGGGTCTAGAGGATGGGAGGCTTCCACTGAGTAGCCGGGAGAGACCTAAAAAGTCTGAGAGCTCCCCAGCAGCTGCTGAGCACATGGCTCTGTACAGAGAAAGAACCGGTGGGCCTCTGTGTGTTTCCGAAGGTATAAGACATAGGTCAGGAGGCTAAGTCCAAAACAGCAGCTAAATGGTGACAGTGGATCCTTATGGGTTTGTCTGTGTATCTTGAGGCCTCAACCAAGGGCCCAAATAACAGGAAACCAAATGCACTGAAAGGAAAAGATTACCTCACCTGCTTTTGGAAGAGAGTAACTGATATTAAACAAATCCTCCAGAAAAGAGAAGGTGGGACCTGTGATGTTCAAAGCAAAGTCTACACTTCCATTTGCAATGGCATCTTTCCGGGCCCAGATACGTATCTAAATCAAAACAGTTAAGCAGTGATTAGGAAAACCAGTAGTGATTTTGTAAAGAGGTAGTCTGCTTGCTCCAATTCCCTGCTGCTGAGTCAAAGTCTTACCTTTTCAGAAGAAGCTACACAATAAAATGCTTGCATGCCTACATGTCCTGAGAAAACCCCTGAAGGCTGTTCACTAAGTTATGAACAGTGATTCCCCCGAAAGCGTATTTCAATCTTTGACAATAGCATGTTCAATCTGGAATCATAAAACAACCCTTGGAATGTGTCGTACCACCATCTATCCCTACAGTAAGTGTAGATTCTATAGGCATTTTGTGCACTTTAGGCCCTTGCTTCCCATTTTAGGATATATTACTAATGATCCAAAACAGAATTGCACTGTGAGTGGAGGTTATATAGTATGGTACATATTAAGCATATTTAAATCATGCAAATTTAAAATGGTTTGGCAGTTACAACATTAATAGTCCTACTTTACTTTCAAAATCTGAAATAAGGTTAATTCTCCTAATTTAAAAAAGTTCATCAAATGTCTCATAATTTTAAAGCTGTTGAAGCAAGTAAATTATAATTCTTTTGTTATTCTATTGCAAAATGACACTTCCACTTTAGCAAGGAAAAGGAAATCTCTGCCATGTTTTGTCCGTTTTGTGTGACCACTCTATTGTTTGGGTAATTGGAGCTTATTTGTGTGATTTTAGTGAGTAATATCCTATTGTTTTAACATTAATTTTTACTGTAAATTGAAAGTATTGTAAACTCTACAAAAACAAAAGGTAAGCAATTCTTAATAGAATTGCCAGCATTAATGTTAAAGAACATGCATAAAACTTAAAGATCTTGGAATGAAAGTTACCAAGTGAGATAATTAAAATATTCATCCTGTTGTGAATGCAGTTAATTTAAGAAAGAACGCTCTGCGAAACGTTAGAGAAAATGCTAAGGAAACGAAAGAATCACAGTATTTATAGATTTGTGCCCTCCAAGAACATATTCGTCTTACTGTGTTTTTATTTCTGCTTAAAAGTATTTCTAGAATTATGTAAATTCTGAACTACTTACATGTTTCTTATGTTTATCCTCATGCCACACATGAACCACACTTTCCATTTCACGAAATCTTTATCTGTTACTTAATGAGAAATTTGTAAACGGGTTGGACTCTATTCCAAGTGTTTTTTATTTTTGTTCCTCTGCAGAGTGTGTAACGGACTCATTAACTTTGTAAAGCTGAGCTGTAGCCAAATGTTCACATTCCACTGATAGACTCATGCCAAACTTCAGTGTGCTGGCTAAGAACATGACTTTCTTAGGCATGCTGCATTTCCTTGTTGCTTCTATGGCAGCTGGCATCCTTTCCGGGGTGATCTTTCACCGATAAATAGATATCAGCCCTCTACAAGAATCGCTGACTGTGTGGCAGCTCTTACCACAACAAGGCACTTGAGATAATGGAAGCCGAGGAATCACCTTTGGTCTGTCATTACCTATGGGAGCCATGGGGCCCATTCTTCCTTGCCAAACTCAAAGCACATGCTTCCAAATCATGCCTGAGCAGATTTAACAATATGAGCCATGCACGTTTAACTTGGCCAGTGTTATATCTGTAGATGACAAGGATCTACTAGTAATTATTCAATAGGAAAATCAAACTGGAGCCAACAGCTTAGGAAGATAACAAGCTGTCATTTGCATCTAACACAGTATTATTAATTCATTAAGTTAGGAGGAGCTTTGGGAATTGCTCAGCCAACACAATATTATTAATTCATCACTAGGTTAGGAGTTGTAAAGGAGGAATAGCTTTGAGTGATTCTCCCCTGATGAGGGACTTAGCTCACCCACAGCTTCCTTTTCTCCACATGTCAACGGTGCAAACCTGGAAGATCTCAGGCCCAGGAGAGTATGTTAGCGAGCTACAGGGCCTGATTTTTCTCAGTTCGATGAAGTCTATGTGTCTAGAAAGAACTGGGCCTAAGGCCCACTGTGATAGGGAGTGAACCAGTATATAAGGCACTGCCAGTATAACCTCCATATTTTCCTAAAGGATTATTATAAAGGGGGTAATTGGGTGAAAACCAGCTGTTTCAGGACAGAGTGCCAACTTTACACAACTCAGAAACAGCGTTGCATGCTCCAGAACTGAAGAATATGGCAGTTCAGCTTCTGGATAGGTATGGGGACAAGCGCGACTTTATTTTAAATGCTAATCCACTATGTAACTTCTGACTAAACTTAAGCCTAAGAGTGCCTATAAATGTCTACTTAACATGTTAACTCATTATGTAGAAACACCTATTCATAGTAAGTTTCCTTCAAAACCACCCTTGTTGTTCTGGAAATCATAGGCTGTGATGTGGCCAACTACACATTTCTTCCAGAGCATGTATGCTTTTCCCCGAAGATATAAGCCCTGGGTCTGGGGAATTGCAGAGCAAAGATCTACTTGTCTTGCAGCCAGCCAAGACCTGCTTCTGTCTTTAAGTTCCCCTAATAAAACATCCCAAACCAACAAACTAGATTTGTCTGCCTCCTTCCTCAGTCTCTCAGCTCCTTCTGCATTTGGGGGTCGTTTTGTTATATGGCCCTTTCACAGAACAACAGGGATAATATTTTAACCTGCATGCACCATTTCAGCCACAGCAGTTGTTCTTGGCTGGTGTCTGTTTTGACTGGTTGATGCCTGGCCACGCTGGTTGCTAACTGTTTTGAATATCACCCAAGCTTCAAGACTCCATTAACCCTGGGCTAAGTACACATCACACACTAAACCCAAACATCAAGGTGCCAGTGCAGCAGTGCTCCCCATTCTCTCCTGTCTTCTGCAAAAGTAGAAACACACTGGGAAGAGGGGGCACAGACCTTGCCTTGAGGAGTGGGTTTAATATGGAGTCTTTCCATGAAAACCTATCCAAAGAATGGCAATAGGAAATGTTATGTCCCATTCTGCAAAGCCACACTAAGAACTTTTACAGGGCTTGGGAGAGAGAACTAGGAATCGATTTGGGATATGCAGGCATAACCACTGGATGCAGAAAAGAATAGATGAATAATCTGCAGCCAGTACACTCTTCCTTACCTACAGAATCTTCCTCACTCACCTCCTTGCCCCTTTCTGTTCTGTTGACATGGTCATAGTCGCATATAACAAATGCAACTAAGTAAGTTGGCATGTGGGGCGTAGTGGAAAAGGTAGTAACAGTCCATTTGCTTCCATTCACATCTTCTTTTACAGACTGACCTAGAGAAATTTATTTTAGTTCAAATCACAGCAAATCTAAGCAATAACATATCTTTGAAATAATTTGTCAAGTCAATTGTCACCCAGCTACTCCTTTCCAGCTATTCCTCATAGTCTAGCAGTTCAGATTTCTCCACCTACTCCTAAGCTATCCAAAACGACATTAGGAAAATCTCAGAACAGCATCTTGGGCCTGAATCAGCATTTTGAATAATATGGGCTTGATTGAGGGCCAAATCCATGAGCACTATAACCTTAGTCCCCAATCTGCCTCCTTTCTCTCCCACCTAATTCTATTGTTTTCTAGTCTAGCCAATTTCTCACAACACTTAATCTAGAGCTGCCCAGGCCCCATGGTAGGTCAACAAGGTGCAATTCTACTACTCTCAGGTTTCAACTAAGACTTTAGTGGAAGCAATCTGGGGCATTTAAAGCTGAAATCACAAACTCAAATGCCTACAAGGGCCAGGCACCTGAAGTGAAATGGGTTGGTGTACGCTAATAGGGAGTGGTGAGGATCATCTGAGAAGAGGCTGCAGGAGGCAGCCAACCTCCTGCTGGAGACAGCAAGACTTGTCGACCTGGGAACCTGCCTTTAGATGACAATTGTGGATGCTAAATTCCCTTTCAACTAAGGTCCTGAGACTTAAAGCCTCTTCTCAAATGTAACTGATCACTGCCACGTAAGAGCTGTAGGTCCAGTGTTGTTAGAACTTCTAAGTTTTCACATTTAAATTTTTATGTAAAATCTCTGGATATTTTAAAGTTGGAAACTGATTTAACAAAAAGAAAAAAAGGCACATGAGCCAAATGAAACACAGCTGTGCCCCAGATTCAGTCTAAGCCCACCAGCTTGTTATCACTAATGATCAACAGTTGAAGCCCAAACTAAGCGGCAGACAGACTGCCTATATATAAGAACAGTATAAAATCCGCAGCTTCTAATACGAAAGGAATCAGGGTTTACCATCTCTAAGATGTGGATGCCGACACATACCCCAGGTGACTGCTCTACCTAATTATAGTAGACCGTAATTGTAACACACCATAATACACTGCCTGGAAAAGCTACTGGTGTAAATGTGATTACAAAACTTATATAGACAGACAGCTAGATATAGACAGAAAGCATTACTTACCTAGCTTTGGCATGTTGGAAAGGGCCACATAACTTGGATGATGAATAATTGTAATATTAAAAGTTGCCTTCAGAGCTGGCTCATCAAAACAAGGGAAAACATACCTGGCAAATGTTGGTTCCAGCTGGGATGCTAACAGGGCCCTGAAATACATTTTGGGGAAATTTTTATTTATTTTTATCTCAACCCAGTGGAATAAAAAAAAATGTTGAGATGATGGTTTGTAAATTAGACTGGTGTGTTAGAGGAAATTTCCTCTCATCTTCCTCACTGCCCACCCCATCACACTAACACACTCCAATTATCATGGCACCTTAGAATTCTCCTAAGACCTAAATACAAGCACACTCTTTACTTTTCAACCACAAAATAGTATTTGCTTTATTACGTCGTAAACGTTTAAAACCTTCTACAAACAGAATAGAAACAAATATAGCAAATATGCAACACCAGTCTTTTGAGAACCAGGTCTTTATAAAGCTAGGAGTACTTTGAGAATGGTCCATTGCCTTCATCTTCCACTAAAGTAAAAGTCAGTGGAAGAATGTCTACATTTTTTTCTTTTTCTCACATGCCTCCTCTTCTTTCTAGCTAAAATCTTACAAAAAGTTTCATTTTGGACACCCTTGGGAGTAAACAATATGAGTACATACTGATTGAACAAAACAACTTTCAATTATATATGGGTAAATGTATCAAACCCCTACTGATTGTTCCTCTATCTCCATGGCAAAATGCAAAGAGTGACATTATCCCACCACACAAAATACAAAGAGTGACATAATCCCACCACATACTGGTGACTCACAGCGAAAAACTTAGGGACAAGAATACCCTGAGCAGACAAGAATATGTCAGGTATACCCTCTGCTACCACTGCCTGAGTCTGATGACAGCATAGGTCCCAGCAAACAACTTCCTTCTCAAAACAAACAAACAAACACACACACACACACACACACAAACCCTGCAGTCTCATTATCCCATTTGTGAAGACTTGCTTACCTGGGAACCTGTCTTTAGATGACAACTGTGGATGCTAAATTCCTTTTTCAACTAAGGTCCTGAGACTTAAAGTCTCTGATACATTTGTTTTTGCATCAGGCCCAATTCTTGAATAAATAAAAGGTGAATTCAACAAAGATATCTCAAGAGTGTATGCCATCCATTACTTACCCTTGTGATCCCTCCTTCACCATCATAAGACTGCTGCTCGCATAAAAATTCACACAGCTTTAGGAAGGACACCCAGGACAGTTTGCACATGCAAACACCTCTCAGTCAGCTATTTTGAAGTGTCATAACCTCATTGTATTGACAAAAATAATAATTTATAGTAAGGCCTGTTTGGCTTATTTGCTGTTGCCCACATCATTACATGCTTACTTGCATAGACTGGACGGAGCCCTGTGGGCTCTGACATCAGCTACTTTCACTGCAAGACCGTACTCCACTCCATCTACTACCAACTGAGAAATCCTGGACAGTACATAATCTTGTTAAGTCCCAGTTTCTCCACCTAGAAAATAATGACCCTATTTACCTTGTACTGCTGTTTGAGCTTTTAAAATATTGGTAATTAAATTTACCAATAAATCCCCTTTGAATTCTCCTATATCCCTTCCAATCTCATAAATCATTCTTGATACAGATGAACTATAGAAGAATTCAAAGAGGGATAAGTTACAGGATGGAATGGAGGTTCGGAAATCACTAGTTTCAGATGCATCTTTAAATGTCCCAGGGTTAGGGGAGGTGGGAATGGTTAATGGGTACCAAAAGAAAAACAGAAAGAATGAATAATAACTAGTATTTAATAGCACAACAGGGTGACTATAGTCAAAATAATTTAATTGTACTTTTAAAATTAACTAGAGTATAATTAGTTTGTCACATAAAGGATAAATGCTTGAGGGGATGGATACCCCATTCTCCATAATGTGAATATTATGCATTCCATGCCTACATCGAAGTATCTCATGTACCCCCACACATATATATAACTACTATTATACCTACAGAAATTTAAAAATTGAAAAAAAATGTTCTAGGGGCTACAGCTGACCACAGGTTAAACATGAGTCATATTTGTCTCCCCAGTAAATTTGAAACTGCTAGAAATGAGAGGTTATGTATCTTTTTCTTCTGTATGAGTTGACAGAAATCTGGGTTCACAGCAATTGTATAAGTATCTGTTTAGCCAAGAACTAATATAAAATAAAAGCAGAATGATATCAGCATATGCAAAAGAATATAGAGTACTTTGGCAGAGTTTGTTTTACCGGCATTTGTTTTATGGTTTTAGTTACTGTCTTTAAGGGGATGGGACAAAGTAGAGAAAATTCAAGCCATTGACAATATAGTGGAAAGGACAGGCATGAACAGGAAATTCAGCCACCTGGGTTCTTGCTTGGAATCTGTAAAGGCTGTTGTGTAACTTTGGGAAAGTTGCTTAATATACCACTTAAATTTTCTATAAAATGTAGATGATCTCTAAGGCCACTCAGAACCCTAAAACTGTGATTCTAAGGGAGATTAAGATATCCAGCAAGATGGAAAAAGAGCCCATGAGTCATCTAAAGTTGGGAGAAACAACCCCCTTCCAGGTTCATGCATGGCCTTCAGGAGGTCTTTGAGCCCTCTGAAATTATAGGATATTTCGTACAACTGGTGGCATATTAAAAAATATATGCTCATGTATTTTTTAAAAGCCAACAAATGCCTATTGTCTTTGTAACAGAAACTATAGGAGGTAAAGCTTGATCATACGTTCTCAGCTGCCATGACCTCACAAAGCTTATGAATCTCAAAAAGGCTGCAAGGTGGGGAGCGGAGAGAAAATTAGACTCTTTAAGGAAGTGGGAAACTTTATTTTACAGATTCCAAAAGTGAACCTGGAGCGTAAAAGCAGGTGGAGATGCTAGTTTAAAGAGTCACCACTTTAGCAAATCAAACATCAAGCAAGCATCTTCCAATTCCATGATTCAGGTCTCCAAATAAGTAAAATAAAGTCTCTCAAATTTAATTCAACTATTTCCCTCCCTAGTTTTATGCAAACAAACAAAAAGTTAGGGGAAAATCCCTACAACACACAGTCTCCGGCTCTCAACCTTAACTGCAGAAGTCAGGTCTAACCAGCAGCACATATGATCTAATTATGCCACCTCTGGGAACCTCACAGTGGTGTTTCCTTCCCTTTTCTCTGTGCTTTGGACTCAAGCAACCCTCTAAAGATATTTTGACCTCAGAAAATAGAACCATCCACCAGCCTCTCCTCCCTTCAAATCTCACTGAAACATGCTATTATGGTGTCCATTAAGTCTGTGTTTAGAATGGTCAGCTGGTGAGGGAGTTAATTTTGGAGAATTTGTCTCCTTGTGGGTCAGTATTGCAGAGCAAATTTACTGCCCTCTTGTCTAGAAAGAGAATCATGGACTCACTGTTTTCTCGTGCTGGAAGTGGATCATGGACTCACTGGTTTCTTTGTAGTCAAGAACCACATGACACCCTTGGAGAATAAATCTACTACCACATTAAAAAAATCTACTACATCTATTCAGTAAGCTATTTCATTCCAAATTATTTTATGAACTTTGTATGCCTACAGCTCCAGTTAACAGGTGCTGAATAGCATAGTTGGACAAGTGTTAAATAAAACTCTTAGGAAAGTTGTCCTCCCACACAGTTTTTTTTACACAATAACATACTCAGAAATCAAAATGTTTAGTAGAGCCAGATGTTACACTTACTGGACTGTGTAACATCCAGTGAACCACATCCATGTGGTTCAGGGGTTGGCTTATGAATCATGTTCGTTTATTGCTTGTGTAATAGAATCTGAAAACTGAAGTTTTCACCAGGCAACAAAACATAAGAGATGTAAAATTCCACAGAAAGGTGCCAAAAGATGTTATGAAGATTTTCAAAATAAATGGCCTTGAGAACCTGGGTTTGCCTGTTGGGCTTCTCAGCTACATGAGCGCCACAGAAGACGGGTCAGAGAATGGAGACAAAAGAGATCATAGAAGATATCTCTTGATGGATGGGAGGGGTAAGCATTATTTTGCCAAGCTTTCTATGCTCTCAGGGAGTTGGGAGGAGGGGCAACCTTCTAACTGGGCTTGGAGGAGAGAATCCCTCAGAGAACAGTGAAAGTGTTTCCTCAGGCTGAGAGGCTTAGAAGGCCAACTTACTTTTGAGAAAGATGAAGTTGACAGTATGGCCAAGGTCTAACTCCTACCAGGTGGGGATCTAAAAGGCATGAGAATGGCTGACTTCTTTGGAGTACTGCTGCCCTGGGACTCATGCCAGTCTCAGGCCAGGGATGCATGAGTGTTCCTTGCAAGAGCTGTGTCCCCTACCACACAAAGTGAGCCAGTATGGGGACTGTCTTGGGTTAGTCCAATAGAGCCACCTGGAGGAGTCTGGAGGAGCTCTGAGATATGCTGCTCGGTGTCTATGGGCTAAGGAAGAAGTCAGATGACTATCAGAACAAAGAAAAATGAGAAGTTGCTGAGTCAAGGAAATTGTAGGAAAAAAGAGGAAAAACAATGAATAATCCAGGAAAATTCATCTGTAAGACCAGAATGAGAAAAAATGACAACAGTGCCAGCTCAAGTAAGAAGTCCTATGCATCACCTCTCCCTGTCACCCCAGCCCCATGGACCCCCATGGAATCAAAATAGCAGCTATCAAGACAGGCAAAGAACAGTAGAAATGTGAGGTAAAGAAAAGAAGAAGGACTACCACCCTCTACCTTACTGCAGACTTCCATCCTAAAAACCAGCCCAAGAGTAGGGAGTGGAGAATGGGAGAAAATGGAGGTGGGAGAGAAGGAGGTTTAACAGTAAATTAAGTTTGAAGGTTTGAATATTACACAGGACTAGATTTTCTAATTTTCACATCTAACTTATTTGTGACTTAGCTACTGTAGATCACCTGTCACCTAAGAATAAGCAGGAACTTATAGGCTGCTGGGGTCCTCATGCAGAGCAGAAAAGTTACCCCACGGACTCAATTTCCCACTGTAAAACGACAACAGAAAAACAAAGTTGTGTTTTTACTATTCTATAAGCTGTGCTTTTTCAATATGCTAGCTATACCCATTTTCAAAAGACACAGGATCTGAATCTTTGCTGTGCAA